CCAGAAGAGCACCTCTGTGCTAGTTGCTGCGTAATAGACACCGCTTTGCCGGGCGCCGGTGGACGCTCTGGTCAGGACTGCTCGTCACGCATGAGCCAGACACCCGCGGAAAGATGCTGGCCATTTGCGCCAAGTCATTAACCCAATTGCGTTGGCTCTGCCCTTCATCACGGTCCAGCGGTATTACGCCATAGACAAATCAGTCCCGTAAAAAACTAGACTGCGCACTGTAATCGGCAATGTGGCGATACAGTGGGGGCGTCTGGCGCGACCGCTGGCCCGGCTGAGTGCTGGTTGGCTGAGCCGAGTCACGTGGCTGCCCTGAGCGCGGATCAGGTGCAACCGACGGCAGAACTCAGTTTCTCATTGAATTACGACCCGAGCTCCGTGCATCCAAGTGGCGTCATAGATACACAGATGCAATGGAGAACCCTTCAACTCCAAATATGGGCACAAGTAGAATCGGGTGGTCCGGCCCCATGGACACACATATAGCGCGGGAATTGTGCACTTGAACATGATTCCAAAGAACAGATATTGCCAAGTTCTGTAGCTAAATGGATCATTATCGATCACACTATCCACATCGGATCGAGACTCGCCTATTTACCGGACAGACTAGGACCGCCAACAGCGCATCGACCGTTTCCTTGCGTTGCTATGTCTGTACCGGTGACTTCCCTGTGAACAAATGCACTTAATTTGCCTCTTATCCCAGTAGGAAATAGCTTTGGCCGTGACGTCATAAACAAGGAATGGGCTTCCGCTAGGCCTTTGAAGAGCAGGGCTCGGGTTTCAGCTATGTCTGAGCGGTCGAGTCGCTGCAGTCGGCCGGCCGTGCGCCGCGAGAGCCGGTCTCCAGTTAACGGGGAAGGGTGGGGCGTGGCGGTGAGGTTTACAACAGTGCGCGTGCGTGCGTGCGTGCGTGTGTGCGTGCGTGCGTGCGTGCGTGCGCGTGCGCGCGTATGTGTTCGCGCGCGCGCGCGCGGTATGGCAATGAATAGCAAAATACAATACAAATATAAAAAACACGGACAAGGTTTAACTGCAGGGACGTTCGGCTCGTGTTCTCACCGCTCAGATAATGCCACGGATAACCACTTGACCATTAAGGGAATGCAGCAGGCTAATTCCACGGTTCGTACCTACTCCCATCGTAGCTTAGCGAGACGATGAAGCAATCCATTGTCGGGCATGCACATCGACCCACACTGTCGCATGTGAAAGCCTGTGCACCCGCACGCGTTGCGTGGCTTTGGACCAGCATTATGCAAAACCAAAAGTGCTGGACGGTGAAGTATGGAAGTCATGTACATGTGCGGCGAGGCAGCAGTCAGTCCCAGCGGTGTGAGGGACGTACCGGTGCCGATATTTTCATGGACATCATGAAATATTACTGTAATTAAGCAACCAAGTCTTCATGAACTACGTGATTAAAGGGGGTGTTCACATTTGTATCGGATTTTGAGGTAGAACTGCCATCTAGAGGATCATTCGGTGCAGTTTACAGCCCTGACCTTCTTGAGACCTTAACCCCACTAGCTTCTGAGTTGCACGCCCGAGAAGATGTGCGGACTATTTTGGAAGACTATTTCAAGGTCACCTATACATCCATGCCGCTATAATAAGGTGATTCAAATCCTGTTATTCCACTCGTCATGTGGCGATCGTGGCCAAAACAAATATAATTATCGAGTCGTTCACATCTGTCGTTAGTGAGCACGATTTCTAAATATAATAGCCTTCAATTGGCGCTCAACCAATCCCGTGCAATGTCCGATGACGTTACCAAACAGGGACGTATTGAGGAACACATTTACTGAACGGATAGTTTGTGTTGTATAGAGCACTCTTTTCCACTTAAGAGTATTCCAATAGTTATAAGTGAGCTTATCTCATTTCATCCGGTGCGTGCTTGAATGTCTATATCTTCGAAGCATTCCCTTTAAAGGAAATGTTTCATATGTGAAAGTACTGAAGCAAATGTCAGATATGAAACAAGCGCCCTTGTAACGAAATGATATTACTAAAATATGCTGCATAACTATGATATACTTTAAAGCAGCATACTTTTGATATGCTTTTGAAACGGAAAAGACTGTTCTAGACAGCAAAACTCTCTGTTAAATAGATATGCTCCTCAATGCATCATGGTTTGATTACGTCACCAAACCTGGCCCAACATTGACTGAGAGCCCATCGGCGACCGTTATCTTTGGAAACCGCGCTCACAAACGCCGGATATTAACGCCTCAACAGTGACATTTTTGTTAGCCTTGATCGCCGGACGGCTTATGGAATCGCATTCAAGTGACGCTATTTTAACCTCATAAATGCCAAGGTGACTTTGGAATACTCTCCTCGATATACCTTTCCTCATTTTCGTGGGCGTGTAGCTCAGAAACTGCAGTAAATTAGGTCCTAAGGAGGGAGGATTGCAAACAGCACCCAAATGTCTTCAATATGGCTATTTCAGTTCAAAACACCACATGATCTAGAGCACTCTCTTTAAGACGCGTCATGTATCATTGAGATGCAAATCCACTACGAAATAGACGATACAATTTATTTTAAGTGGACAACTAAAAGGACATCGAATATTTCCGTGATATTATCAGCGCGTGGAACAGTGTTGTGGCAGCTACATGTACGAGTTGTCCATGAGTAATTTGGCAGCCTACGAGTGTTCATTGCATTGCATTTGGTAATCACATTGAAACATGAACAATATTATAGTGACCCACTGTGCGGCATGGAAATACAAATCAGTGTGATGCAGCTGGTGACCGCGCTATATCGACGCCAACGGCGTCGCGTTGGCGACGCCGTCTGCTTCCCACAAGATTCGCTTCCTGCTTCGCTGTTGCGAGGCAAGTGGAAAACACAACGAAACAACACCTATTCCACGTTATGAGTGTGTAAGCCAGCGATGCGCGGGCAATGCGTCCGAGAAACCCATGGAGTACAATCCGTCGTCAGTGTGATGTTAAATTTAAGTGAGTACAGCTTACACAGGTTACCTGAGATCCACTTCATCCCGCTGAGGCACGAGCCAGCATTACACCACGGTTGGTGGCGCTTCTAGCGCAGGCCGCTTCGTCTCAGCACGACGAAACAAGCGGGAATGGCTCGATAAGGCTGCTATTCAGCTTTACAGGGACAACAGTACTCGGAATATATGTGATGTGCAAGTCTTTGTGCAAGTAAGTTCGTAAGCATATTATATGAAGGCGCAACAAACAGCACGGATGTTTGCTCTCTAAGCGTCAATGTGTGCCACATTCGTGGAGATCATGTTCAATGTGTGCCATGTTCGTGCAGCACAGAGAACGGGCGCCAGAGGAGCGACGACGCGATACATTCCTCGTATTTTGAGCCCCTTTGAAATGCCTCATGTTATTTCTAGAAGGCTGTCTTTCTTTGAAAGATTTAAACGCTCTTCAAGCAGCAAGCTTAAAGAGCCATTTTTGAAATAAAAAAGAATCAATTTGAAATATTCCTGGAATCTTTGTGCAAGTATGTAATACAGCAGCGTGGCTGTCGGAGACGCGTCCTGACCTCGGGCCGCATACCATGACGGGATGCTGTCATGCCCCTGATGGCGCCGGGCAATCTGCGCTGCACGCCACTGGCAGCCTCTGCGACACGCTGTCAGTAGGTCTGATTACATTCCCGATCAGCTGTCAAGTGGTCTCCCGAGCTGAGCGGCACATAATTGGTCCGGATGCCACGACAAGCGCCGGGCATGGTGACAGGCATGACGAGCGGCTCGGGGCCGATCGTCACGACAAGCCGGACATGGTGACAGGCATGACGAGCGGCTCGGAGCCGATCGTCACGACAAGCCGGACATGGTGACAGGCATGACGAGCGGCTCGGGGCCGATCGTCACGACAAGCCGGACATGGTGACAGGCATGACGAGCGGCTCGGGGCCGATCGTCACGACAAGCCGGACATGGTGACAGGCATGACGAGCGGCTCGGGGCCGATCGTCACGACAAGCCGGACATGGTGACAGGCATGACGAGCGGCTCGGGGCCGATCGTCACGACAAGCCGGACATGGTGACAGGCATGACGAGCGGCTCGGGGCCGATCGTCACGACAAGCCGGACATGATGACAGGCATGACGAGCGGCTCGGGGCCGATCGTCACGACAAGCCGGACATGGCTGACAGCGCTCGGGGCCGATCGTCATACAGCCGACGAGCGGCTCGGGCGGCTCGGGCCGATCGTCACGACACCGGACATGCCGGCATCAGCGCCTGGGCGATCGCCACAGCCGACTGTGAGCGGCTCGGCCTGGCCGATCGTCACGACAAGCCGGACATTGTGTGGGGGGAAAAACGGACATGGCATGACGGCGGCTCCGGGCCGATCGTCACACAACCGGACATGATGACGGCATGACGAGCGGCTCGGGGCCGATCGTCACGACAAGCCGGACATGGTGACAGGCATGACGAGCGGCTCGGGGCCGATCGTCACGACAAGCCGGACATGGCTGCTGGGCGGCTCGGGGCCGATCGTCACGACAAGCCGGACATGTGACAGGCATGACGAGCGGCTCGGGGCCGATCGTCACGACAGCCGACATGTGTGACGGCATGACGAGCGGCTCTGCTGGGGTGGGCCGATCGTCACGACAAGCCGAACATGGGCCTTTCTGGGCCGGCACGCGGGCCGATCGTCACGACAAGCCGGACATGGCTGCTGGGCGGCTCGGGGCCGATCGTCATGACAAGCCGGACATGGCTGCTGGGCGGCTCGGGGCCGATCGTCATGACAAGCCGGACATGGCTGCTGGGCGGCTCGGGGCCGATCCTCCGCCCAGCAGTCGCGCCCCTCAGCCTGAGGCCGAGCCCGGGCCGCCGGTCCCCTCCCCTCGTCGCGTCGGCTTATTCCCTGGCGATCGGTCATGGCCAGGCGGGGCGGTGCGCCTGGCAGGGGGTCTGATCCCGTGACGTCACCGGTCGCCTCGCACGGGACGGCACTCACCGATCCGGACGGCGCGAGGCAGGGCGCCGCCGCCCAGCTGCAGCATCACAGCCGCCGCCACCACCCGGCTCACACAGCCGGACATCATCTCTGAAGCAGGCAAGGACTCCATCAGAACAGGGGGCGTACGGGACGTCTCGGGGCACAGAACAACCGGGATCAGGAGCTACCCGTTATCCCTGGAGCAGCACGGGACTTCGTCAGATCACAGAACGTACGAGACTGAGACTTAATCCCATGGTCTGGGGAGCCATAGGCCTCTGTTAGGACGCACCGGGCGGACAAGAGAGAGAGAGAGAGGAGAGAGAGAGAGGAAGAGAGAGAGAGAGAGAGAGAGAGAGAGAGAGAAGAGCGATAGAGAGAGAGAGAGAGAGAGAGTAAGAGAGAGCGAGAGAGAGAGAGAGAGGGAGGGCGAGTGTGAGTGTATGTGTATATATGAGTGTGAGTGAGTGTATGAATGAGTGTGAGTGAGTGAGTTGGCGAGTGAGTGAGTGAGTGAGGGAGGGAGGGAGAGCGTGCCTCCATGAGTGCGTGCGTGTGAGTCAGTGAGTAAATGAGTCAGTGAGTGGGTGCGTGCGTGCGTGAGTGCGCGTTTGAGCGAGTGAGCCAAGTGTAGTGTGAGTGCAGGCATGAGTGGGTGCGTGCGTAAGTGATTAGAAGGGTGAGCTGGTGAGTGCGTGCCCACGTGAATATGTGCATTCGTGAGTGTGTATGTGTGTGTGTGTGTTGGTGGTGTGTGGTGTGTGTGTGTGTGTGTGCGTGCGTGCGTGCGTGCGTGCGTGCGTGCGTGCGTGCGTGCGTGCGTGCGTGCGTGCGTGCGTGCGTGCGTGCGTGCGTCTGTGTTTGCGAAAGTGAGTGAGTTAATGAGTGCGTGAGTGTGTGCGTACCTGATTGAGTACGTGAGTACGTGAATATGGGTGAGAGTGAGAGGTGTTGATGTGTGAGTGAGTGACAGTGAATGAGTGAGTGAGTCGGTCAGTCAGAAAGTGTGAGATAATGTGCAAAGTCGTGTGAGAGTGTAGAATCCGGTGTGGGAAAGTCATATAGGATATAGAGAAAATTGGCCAAAAGAGTATACGAACGTGAACGTTAGTGTAATTGGATGTGGTAGTTTGTAGTATGAGCGTGAGAATTAGGGATAGTGAGCATAACTATAACTGTGAGTGTGAGAAGGGTTGTAAGACTGAGTGTGAGTGTGAGAGCGTGCGAGAGCAAGTATGTGCATGAGTAAGAGCATGAGTAGAGTGCGAGGATGAGCATACAAGGAGTTTGGCTGTACGAAAAAGTACGATAAAATGAGGTGTTTGTGTGGGGTGAAAGTGTGAAAGAATGTGAGCGACGAGAGAAGGTGAGAAATATAGCAAAAGTGAGGGAGGTACGGCGGGAGAGAGAGGGGGTCGACTACTTAAACTGACAGGGACAGGTCATTTTTTTCGGAACACAACACAGCACAGCTAGAACCAGAAAATATATCCGGGACGGTGACAGTTCGTGTCGGGCACCCTCTCTTTCCTCAGCCTCGGTGCGCAACTGAAAAAGAGTCTGTGCTGCATGGCAGTTGTTGCATTATTATAGTTCAAAGGGGTAAGCGGGATGTTTGCGTATAACGGACTAGATTATAATTAATTTCCAAGAGACTGAACCTCGCAAAAATCTCGCTGCTTGGTTAAACACGATAAACGTTCGAACTTATTCTGCTGATTCACGTGGTGTTGTTTTTGTTATGAGAGTTTCCTGCAGTGCAGATGGTGCATAATTTTGTCACAAAAAACAACTGTGAGATCCAGCAGAATTTACGAGACTCGAAAGCTCGCCGCCAGTGTGTGACAGTGTTTGTTTGTGATAACCCTATTCCGGCAGAAAAGCAAAAACATGATATCTGCATCGTTCTGTATTCATTATAGCTGAAAAGCTTCCTTTTGCATCGTAACCTTTCGTTCATTCTAGCAAAACTTAATTGGATTTCTGGCGGGCTGACCAGATTACAGGTTATGTTTACGCTATGATAATTACAATTGTCTCTGCGCAACTAGAAAACAAAATATGTTTTGAAATACAAATGAACATTGATCAGTGATTTGGTTTAGGTATCAAACGGACTAAGTACCGAATTCTCGACGAACTGATAACAATTAATTTACCCATCATGTCGAGGCCTTACACAGTTGCTCAAAATCACCTGGGAGACGAAGGCCTGAGGAGTATGGCGGCAGTGGTGAGATGCTTACCTGTGTCTTAGATGTACGGGACCAAAGCTCGGAAATCCGACACTGCAACACCAGCTGTGCTACTGATGACCACCTCGGGGCACCCGTCAGGGGTGTGAGACGACTCCGGGTCACAGGGCGAGCACAGTCACCAACACGGCACTGGATGGGGGCGAGCACACTGGTGATACCTGGTGTCTCACTCTCCCATAGCCTGCACTCAGCTGAGCTGTTCCGTCGCACCGGAAGAACCACTCTTTAGCTGGGTATGGTTAGATGGAACAGTTCAAACACGTCACCGCGCGGAGGTCCAAACGTCCCGCCTGAGGGACTCAGCGCGTGCAGTTTCCACCGGTCTCAAACAGGCATTCGGTGGACCTGCTTGCTGTGAGCCCTCATAGCTGACGGACGTCTAAGTAACCTCAGTTATCAGCAGTGACAGCGGTCGTGCTGAACAGGCTGCCAACAGAGAGCGGCGGCAGCGCAAGACGTCGTGCTCGCGGTAGTCACGCCACGCACCGCTCGGCACTGCCGGCCGCCTCCACTGGCTGCGGCACCAGACTGAGCCGGGCGGCAGGGGCCGGCCGCCGACGGCGGCGGCGCAGGCTCAGCGCCGGGGCAGCCGGCGGACCGACGGAGCCGACAGTCAGCTGCCCTCCTCTCGGTCAGGGGACGTGGGACACGCCCATGTCCTGGTCAGGGGACGTGCAGACATGGCCACCTCCCGGTCAGGGGACGTGCAGATACGGCTGCCTCCCGGTAAGGGGATGTGGAGACACGGCTGCCTCCCGGTCAGGGGATGTGGAGACACGGCCGCCTTCCGGTCAGGGGATGTGGAGACATGGCTACCTCCTGGTCAGGGGACGTGCAGACACGGCTGCCTCCCGGTCAGGGGATGTGGAGACACGGCTGCCTCCCGGTCAGGGGATGTGGAGACACGGCTGCCTTCCGGTCAGGGTATGTGGAGACATGACTACCTCCTGGTCAGGGACGTGCAGGCACGGCTGCCTCCCGGTAAGGATGCGTGGAGACACGACAACTTCCCAGTGCAGACACGGCTGCCTCCCCGTCAAGGGAGATTCTGTCCTCTATGTCTGTCTGTCTGTCTGCCCTGTCTGTCTGTCCTGTCCTGTGTCTGAACTGTCCGAGTGCGTGCCTCCCTGTGAAGAGATGCGCATCACTTATCCCGGAATGCGTCACGTATGTTATATATGATCATCAGCATATTAGTGTATTTTTATATGAAAAAAGAAGCGCAAAAGGTCCTAAGGCGGACCACGCTATTGTTATCACCGGCGTGAATTGTCAGTGTTTAAAAAGGTGTCAACTGTTTTACTGCCTCCACAGGAGGAACAGGCATCATGACATGTTCAGTAACAAAAGCTAACTTAGTTCGTGAAATGCTGTCTTCCAGCAGTCGTGGGCTCTACAAAGGACGATGAGATTGAACGATTTTCAGCATCTTTTAAAGCAATGCTCATCCTTGCGGTTGCCGTTCCCCAGAACCAGCGGGACACGCGGTTCCGCGCCCGGCGTTACCGCCGTGTGCCACCTGCTGTGAACACGTCTACTGCTCGCAATCAAACTCAGCCACTTTCCAAAAAATGGAATTTGAGGGGGCGGTGTGAGATAGAGGCTAGAGGAACACGCGGAGTGCGGCGGTCATGTGAGAGAGAGCCCCGGGATGTGCCGCGCGCGGTTCGTTGTGAAGGTACGGAGTCTGTCGACTTGACATGAGACCCCACAATAAAAGAACACAAAGGTACGAGCTTACAAGGATAGGTGTGGTCTGGTCCTTGTAATCGATTATGTGTGAATGTATGATCATGTTTTGTGTTTCAACCCTGCGCCCTCTCATTTTTGTTGTGGGTTTCTTTGAAACACAAAGACAATTGCGTGGTTTCTTTCACCCCGAAAATGTCTTAGACTGATACTGGGCGGAGGGGAAGAAAGCAAGGATCCAAAGAAAGACAAACAGCCACCAAAGTTTTAAATTACGGGAAAATACACGTGTGGGCGGCATGTCCTTGATCATGTCAGGCATGTAGCACACCTTTAAATCCGATGCAAGCTGTTAATAAATGCAGATCGCTTCCCGACCCTCTTTAGAGGCACAATTACCCAGTCTTTGTTAACATGTCACGCTGCAGCTATGTCTCCAAGCATCGTGCTTGTTGGATTGGTGAGGTTTTTGTTCGCGTTTCAGACAAGGGCCCCTGGGTTGGTGCATATTGCCTAAAATTGTGCCTTTACCTCTCTAAAGATACGAGCTGGAGCTGAATCGATAGGGGAGGACAAAAACCACAAATGTTACAATATTGGGGCGTGTTTCTTCATAACAGCCAGCGCCTTTGTGATGAGGCTTAGCTTGACGCCTAAAAGTACGTAAATGTGTTTGATTTATTGCAGAAAAGTGCATATGATATATACAGATATATCATTCAGCAATACAAACCATTCCTTTATAGCAAACCAGGCAAAACATTGCATATCATTGGGATCAGATCCACTGCGTAGTTTTCTATACCACAGGCGCACACAAGCAGGAGGCACACGGCTGCTACATGTGCAAATGTTTTTGGCAAATGCGCGATCATGGGTCCCATTGGTCATTCCACAGCGGAAAAAAAACACCAGGGTGCCCTAGGGCGAGGCGAAAAAGACATTACGGAGCCGCCAACTGGCAGAGGAGTGCTGAGTGCTGAGTGCTGCCCCATGAGTGCTGCGGTCGAGGCCCTCTGGTGACCTGGACCCTCATTGCGATAACCATGCTCGGACGCATTGCCGCTAAACGCAGTCCAGGGACAAAGCTACTTATAGATCATCGATCCCAACTGAATACGAAGATGTCACTGGGCCTTCAAATCTCCGGTCGTTTCGTATGCGACGCACAGCGATTACAGCTGCATAATTGAAAACTGCGGTAATGCTCTCCTCAATGCGACGCAGTTTTCTAGGACCAGTCCTGCGAAATGGTGGCTGAGCCCTGAGGCTGAATGAGTGTCTGAATTCTCTGACTCGAAATCTCCGAAACAAAATTTCGCTCAGCGTTGACGTGATGTCAGTTGTGCCAGCTTTAATGACTCTCCCAATTTGTGACCCCTCCATCAGGCCTGAAAAACCCGACGTTGCGATTCACATCTCCTCAGGCACCTGAAGACGTCCGGCGACGAAGTGGCTTTATGTACGAAAGGTCAGGTCACGTTTTCGCTGAAAGAGAGAGAGAGAGAGAGAGAGAGAGAGAGAGAGAGAGAGAGAGAGAGAGAGAGAGAGAGAGAGAGAGAGAGAGAGAGAGAGAGAGAGAGAGAGAGAGGGAGGGAGAGAGAGAGAGAGAGAGAGAGAGAGAGAGAGAGAGAGAGAGAGAGAGAGAGAGAGAGAGAGAGAGAGAGAGAGAGAGTGTGTGTGTGTGTGTGTGTGTGTGTGTGTGTGTGTGTGTGTGTGTGTGTGTGTGTGTGTGTGTGTGCGTGTGTGTGTGCGTGTGCGTGTGCGTGTGCGTGTGCGTGTGCGTGTGCGTGTTGCGTGTGCGTGTGCGTGTGCGTGTGCGTGTGCGTGTGCGTGTGCGTGCGCGTGCGCGTGCGCGTGCGCGTGCGCGTGCGCGTGCGCGCGTGTGTGTGTGTGTGTGTGTGTGTGTGTGTGTGTGTGTGTGTGTGTGTGTGTGTGTGTGTGTGTGTGTGTGTGTGTGTGTGTGTGTGTGTGTGTGTGTGTGTGTGTGTGAGAGAGAGAAAGAGAGAGAGGTAGAGAAAGAGACGCATTAGTTTTCACTGAGGTCTCTCTTGCTAGAACTACTGAGATAAGGCAAAAGTCTTATGTCTGCAGAGAGCTATAACCTTCAGCTTTGTATGCAGTGGTAAAGCCTCGGGAGCATGGCCCCGTTTTTTTGTAAATTACTTTTCAATGAGCCACGGATCCAAGAACGGGAGGAGTTGAGGGGGGGGGGGCTGTGTGCGCAGCTCGCCCCCCCCCCCCGTCAACTTCAAAGTTAACTGTGGCTGACTATTCCCTGTGGAGGGCAAATTCTGGTATATTAATGGTCCACTCTGATATTCTAATGAGCCATTCTGAACTGTTAAAGGCTGATTGATGTAAGCCTGTCCATTCTGACCGATCCAGGGCTCATCCTGGCCTATTAACAGCTCATTCTGACCAAAAGAGGGCAATTCTGGGGCTGTAGAGAACCCTGTGACCAGTAGAAGGTTCATTAGTGACTGAGGAGGGTTCATCGGCCTGAAGAGGTCAGTCTGATCTGTAGACGGCCCATTATTGACTGGGACGGCCCAGTCTGCTGTGCCGTGGGCTTATTATGAACTGTAGATGGCTCATCACCAACCGTGGAGGGTCCATTTTGGCGTATACAGGAGCCCATTCAGACTTGTAAAGTGCCTATTCTGGTCTGTAAAGGTGTTATTATTGGCTGCGGAAGGCCATTCTGGCCCGTAAAAGGGCTTATTCTTACCAGCAGAGGGATGTTATTTACCTGAAGAACCCATTCTGGCCTGTAGAAGGCCCATCCTGACCTAAAGGGAAGCCATTCTGGCTTGTAAAGGGCTCATCCTGGCGCGAAGAGGGCCTATTCTGACATGTAGGAGGTACGCTATCGGCTATGGAGGATTCATTTTGTCATGTAGAAGGGCTTGTTCAGGCTTCAAGAGGGCCCATTCTGACCTACAAAGAGCCCATTCTGACCGAACAACCTGTAGAGGTTCTCTACAGGCCCATGTTAATCTGTAGATGTCCCATTCTGCGATTACGTGACTAGAGGGCCATCCTGACCCGCAGAGGCCCCATTATTGACTGTGGAGGGCCCATTAGTAATTGTAGTGCTCCGGCGTTCTGGACTGTGGATGACCCTTTCTGCAAAGGACCATTTTAACTTGTATAGGACCCATCGAACTTGTGGGGGCTCATCATCTGCGCGTTTCCCAACATCGCGGTTCGCAGCAAGCAGGACCGCATGCAATATGAACACCACTAGTCGCCTATTCTTGATCCACATCAGAAGAAAATGCACCACCGTTCATGCAACCCTTATTTCCACATTCCGTAAGACCGATACGTATATTCGTTGGGTTCAGCGAGGCTCTGCGCCATGCCGTGGCGCAACTTGCGAACAATTTCTGCAATTTTACCTTTGCAGCTTTCTCGAAAATGGTCAATTTTCAACGACAAAAATTGCTGGAAAAGTTCATTTTGCTTAGCGTGGCGCAAAATGGGCGCTGTCCCCCAACCCCATGTTTCGGTCCATTGATTCCCAGGCCACCGTCAGGATTCATGGAAGCTAAGGACGAGATGGTGTTCGGCTTTTAGCAATGAATGCGTCAAACCATGATTTTCTTCCTCAAAGTGCCGGAATTCCGAGTCCAACGGTCTACCACTGCAGCAGAACAATGCGACGCGCACTCAGGTGGGCGTAGTCCTGCTGAAATGTTCTGTCTTTTCGTGAGGGCCAGAAATCGGAGTGTCAAACTGGATCTGCCGCTCGTGCTGCAAGCTTAACGCTACGTTTTCGTCAGGACCGGTACTCGGAGTGTCAAGCTAGGTCTGCCGCTCGTGCTGCAAGCTCAACGCTACATTTTCGCGAGGACCGGTACCCGGAGTGTCAGGCTAGGTTTGCCGCTCGTGCTGCATTTACGACTTAACGCCACATATGGTTGCGAATAAGCAGGAGGGCAATCAAATAAGGACATGTGAAACGAATAACGAAGTAGCAAATACATAAACGAACAAATAACAACTAAACGAATATGAGACGCATTTGTGGCGAGCTGCGGAAACAGCTGAATGTCGCCGCGGTATAGAGCGGACCGCATGGCCTGAGGGTAGCGAGGACTCATGGTCCGAGTATAAGTTAATATAGCTCCGATCAGCCCTGGAGACCCAGCGTGTTTTGCCCGGGTGAGGATATGCCACGCATGCGTGAATGCAATGAAAGGGAAATGTGCATGGATGGACGCGTCAGAAGTCCATAACGTAAGACGCGTCTAAATTATTATTAATTTCATTGATTATGAAATTGTTTCATTAATTATGTGCAGCGTCGAAATCATTATTAATTTCGTCATCAATCATAGCGAAATCAGTCATTTTGCGTCATAAGTCGATGACGTAATAAGCGTCGACGTAAGACACGTCGATGGACGCGTCGTCGCGAAAGCTCTATATATGCTCTACATAATGAAGAGGTACCATCCACCGCAGGAACAGCTTCTTTGTGTGTATGCTACTTACATCCGGCCATTGCTGGAATATTGTGCACCGGTTTTTCATGCGGGACTCTCTGCCAAGCAGGCGCAACACCTTGAGAAAGTGCAGAAGAGGGCCTTGAAAATTATCTTCGGCCATTCGGAAAAGTACTCGTACATCTTGCAACGCTTGGGCATGGAAACCCTCGCTGACAGAAGAGAAAAGCTATGCCTAAGGCTAGGAAAACAAATGTCTCCCATGCATAGAGATCTGCTTCCAAAGCAGCGAGTGGCGATCTCCAGCTGAAATACCAGGAGCGCAAGCACACTTCAAACGTTTTGCTGCGGTACGCGACTACGCAAATCAAGTATTCCCCATATAACCACTCTCATAAACACAGATATATTATCAACTAAGAAGAATCCTACTTCGTATGTATATTGTGCACATGTGCTATATGGGTTGATACTCGAAGCCATGCTTTTCTCACTAAGCCGTCTCTCCCTCTCTCTCTCTCTCTCTCTCTCTCTCTCTCTCTCTCGTCATGTAGATATAAGGTTTATCATATAAGATATCTTGTAACTATCCAGGGCTATCTGATAACGAAAAACGAAGCAAAGCGTTCGTGCCAAGCGCTTAGTAATACGTAATTAATGCGTTCGTAATTAACTCATAAGAATATATTTCAGTAACTACGAGACAATGCTGACGTTAGCATGTTCGAATTGATGCACGTCATCTTCGTTCGAGGCTGAACATACAAACGTCGACGGGTACAAGATCGCATACGGGACGCCGTTTTACAAACTCCTGAAGCAAAAATCGCGATTATTTCCTTTGAAGGCCAGCAGTGACACGTTCCCACTTCGGTTGCCCCCTCCCCTGAACCAGCCCTTGTCCTGGGACTTTGGTTCGAGCAGCGTTGTTCAGCTTACGCACGCTTGTCAATAATCTCTAATCCTTGTGATAAACGTTGGTGTTCACTGGCAAGCGACTTCCTATCCTGATACTCACCATGAGTCATAGTGAACCTCCGGCTCCGCCTTGGCCGCCAAAACCGCGCAGCCCTTACGTCGAAGCATTAATTTTCTTGAAGTCTTGAAAGTTAGTGTCTGTACAGATTCGAAACATTCCCTGTACTTCAAGTGCTCAGTTTTTAAGTTATCGTTTGCTTCACCCTGTTCTGCCGTGACCATGAACACACCTTCGGAACTTCTATCTTGATGATGAGTTCTAGTTGTTTCTCCAGTTTTCTCAACATAATCAACATTTAAATAACCAAAGCCGCTTGATATCGTCATTTAATCATCACCTCATGGTAAAACAAATGCGCACTATTTTCAGCACAGACCTGGCCCACCATGAGAAAAGCCAGGGGCTCAAAGGCCTCCCCTGCTATCAAATACAACACGAGGCAGCGCACGGGTCATGCCAACTACTCTGATTTAGGCCCATCCAGCGTTGAAGGTCTTTACATGTATTTCTTAACTTTTGTCTGGCCGTATGGTCCATGATGCACCCTCGAATACTACCGAGCATGGTGCGATATCAATGGGTATCCGGTCGGGGTAAGTTGTTACCCGTGTACCTAGCCGGCATTAGAATCATATTACAATTAAGCTCAACTATAGATGCATCCCCCTATGTATCAGGTGTCACACACACACACACACACACACATACACACACACACACACACACACACGTATATATATATATATAAATATATATATATATATATATATATATATATATATATATATATATATGTCCCGAAATCCTTTGCACCGTAGCCACGCCTCATCGCCCAAGAGCAGGCACCTGCAGTGTACACTCCAAGGCCGAAGCAATGTCTCGAAGTTCCGCGAGGTGGTTTTCGGCTGTTGCTTCCGCTAAAAAAGCGCTGTCACGTGCGCTTCCAGCGCACACCTGAGCTGGCATGCGCGGTGCAGCATGGGAGCACAGGAGAGCACCGCGTCTCCGGCGGGGCGTCGCCAGACCGTCGCAAATAGAGCCCACTTCGACCCAAGTGAACTATGATGTGGGGCCAACGGCCTTAATTCAGAGGTCTTCATCAGCGGAGGAGGTGAGGCCTCAAGACTTGCTCACCCCAGGCAGCTGAGCTTCAACTTATATTTCCTGGCCTGATCCTGATTCACATCGCTTCTGCTCTGCACATACACACACAAAAACACATTATTGTGTGAAGGTATATTTCATACTCTCTGAGAATTAAATCTCAGGAAATAAATGTGATCAACAACGGCGAGCGATTCATCTCAACACAATTTCGGGAATCATATGTCAATGAGATTAAAATCGTCTAGCACATTACCTGCTCCAGCGGGGCACCTAGTAAGCTCCCTACACACATAAATAAACCGACGCTTTTCGACGCTACGTGTGGTGATAATTGCGCAAAAGCTATTACAAAATTATTAAAATCTTCTCCAACGAGCACGCGTTCACCGGCTCGAACCGAAGCAATAATGTGCAAGGCTACACTACAGCGGTCGGCCCAGGGAATGGGTTCAACAAGTTGCCAGCTCTCGGCAACACTATCGCTACGTCTGTCCAGCTCCGCGAGCAGACAAACGGCCCCGTGGCACGTCTTCAGCGGCGGCCGGTGGCCTGGAGCACCCGGCCGCCGGCGCCCCGGCCCCGCCAGTCCCGGGCGTGCGCACCTCAGCAGCCGTCCCGGCCAGCGCCTCAATTTCGCCGCCCGGTACAGAATGAAGGATATGTGTTTGGAAGCAAGTTTGGGTGATATTGTACATGATATGCCGTAACATCGTAAACGTCGTATCAAAGTTTGCACCGAGGAGGATCCCAAAAATTAGAAACATCCGTTCAATGGTCTTGGCCACAAGTCGTCCCGGCAGATGGAGCGGCGTCTAAGGAACTACTACTTTGGTCGATCGTCGGGAGATGGCTCCTCATCCGTCATGACGGTGACGAGCTCGCCGACTGCTTTACCCAAGTCTCCTGAAACAAGCCGGAGCAAATTTGATCAAGACAGCCGCTGCACTGAGTCGCTGACACTGTTCGCTAGCGATGGCACATACCTATCATACACAAAACTGAGAAGCATGGAGGCCGTCTCCAACTGTTGCTGCCATCCTCAAACGGGGGGGCAAGGCAAAGCACAATCATTAATTAAGGAATATTAACCAAACACAAATCGCTGCCATCAGAACGGTGACCGCGAAGACATCGAAATAAGTACACGTCAAACCCCGCCTGGTTCACGTATCTCTGACGCTCAATTGTACAAATAGCTCCAAAAAACATCCCATAGGGGGCATTTCACTTATACACGCAACGCGATTTTCGAGAAGCTTTTACAAGTCGATGACTGTGTCTCGCGCGCTATACAACACACACAAAACAAGTAAACTTGCTAACAGCCAGGGATAAACCTGCACGCTTACGGGTGCACATTTCGATGCATGCTCTTCAACTGTAAGTGAAAATCTTCACGATTAAAATACAACGCAGGTTAGTCGTTTCTAGGTAGCCACGAGCACGAGCACTAGGTACCCCATGCACATTCAAATAGTGTTATACGGCTGCTTGCTGTAGCGGGCGTTACACGACACAACAAAGACAAATACGACAAACATACACACGAGCACACCAAACTGTCGGATAAAAACACACACACCGCCGTCTCTCAAAGAAATGTGTACATCTGGAGCGGAATATCACAAAATACGCCGATGCGCAATCAGAAGCCATCCATTGGTTAGGTGCTTGTCACAACCTCTGCGCTGGGGAACGGTCATGCAGAAGCGGCGCCAATACAGGTCTCTGGCGCGCCTCCGGCGGCGCTGCCCCGGCGGGCCTGACCTCGGCGGCCGGCCCGACGCGGGACAGCGGCACGCCGCGCAGCTGCATGCGGGGGACGCAGCGCGGCCCGTACCTGCGTACGAGAACAGGTTGCCGACGTAGTCGACGTGGCGCGGGTGGGCGTGGGGGAGCGGGTAGAGGGGCGAGGGCGGCGGCCGCGCCGCCGACGGGTACTGGCAGTCGTCGGGCCCGGGGTAGTCGGGCCGCACGTAGCTGCGCAGCTCGTGCAGCTCGTGCAGCTCGCGGCCGACCGAGAGCAGGCGCACCTGGCGCTCCAGGCCGGCGCGCGACGCCACATACTCGGGCGGCGGGTAACGCTGCGGCGACGGCTCGTGCGCCGGCCGCGCCGAGCCTGCCAGACGGCCGCCGGTGCTGCTCACACCGACTCGGCACATACACATACATACACACATACATACATCCACACGCACACATACGCGCGCACACACACTGCTGATGGTACAGCACAACACTCGCCAACGCTTCTGAACAGACTTGACACCCTCACAGAGGGACTGGACACGGCACAGCGGGGCGGATGGCGGCGATCCTGCCCAGGACCAACACGACAGACAGCACAGCGGACAGGCACCATAGGTGCCGTCGGGGCCACCCTGCTAACGCTACAGCGCGGCGGTGAGTACCCAGCGCCGGCGGGGGATACACGCTACCGCCCGCCGCATGTGGCACGGAATGTGCCCAGAGCCTGCAGGAGGAGCCTGGGCGCAGCTTCACAGTCGACGGTATTCACACAACTCCCAGCAGGACAACACGCAGCCGGTTGTGAGACTGCACATGCTGCGACGTGGGCGGACTTTGCAACGCTTGACGCCATCCCAGCTGGACTCGCAATCCCGATGGCCAAGTGAGGATCAGATGTCGATGAGGATGCCCACGATGACAGTCCACCGATCACAAGAGATCAACATGCCTCGTCCCACTCATTTCCACACGCTGGCGACACACGGTCTCTCGGGGTGGACCAGACGCGTCAGTCACTCGCCAACAGCGAGCACCACAGTGCGTACAATGTCCCACTGTCCGAGCCACCTCACGTCCTCCACACTAGCCACATGCAGTCTCCCAGGCGAACCGGCTATGTTCCGTGCCCCGACACCCGCTAGGCCCTCTCCCGTGCGGCGAGCTCGCTGCCGCCTCGCTGCCCGCCGCCACTGACCTTCGCGTGCAAGCGAGGTGCCGTTGGTGCGCGCCGGCGAGTCGGTGGCCAGCTGCGAGGCGGTGACGGAGCGCGTCTGTAGCGTGCCCGTCCGAGAGAGGCTGCTGCCGCCGCCGCCGCCCTGGCCGAGCCACGGCCGCCACCGGTCACCACACGGCCACAGGTGGCGCCACCGACACGGCGCCCAAGCCGCCAGCAAAACCGCGCCAGTCAAGAAAAACGTCACGAAGCCTCATTTGTCCATTTAAAATGTTATTCAACCAGCGACGTAGACATTCGCGACAGAAGGTCGGGCTGCTGGGCGTTGCCCCTCGTCCAAATCAGACCCCTGGCGGCGACCATCTAACCAGTTTCCGTGACCCCGGAGTGGTCCGGCAGTCCTGCCGGCCACCGGACCCCCAGCATCGGGCCTCACCTCGTCCAGGAGGCGCCGCAGCTTGCTGAGCTGCTGCTCCAGCTGCCGGTTGTGCTCCTCGAGCACCTGCATGCGCGTCTCGAGGCGGCCCTTGTGCTGGCGCAGCAGGCGCGCCTCGTTCAGCATCTCCTGGTCGCGCGGGCTGGCCGGCAGCTCGGCGGCCGCGCCGCCCACGCCACGCAGCCGCTGGTACTCGGCCTGCAGGCTGCGGTTCTCGTCCTCGAGCTCGCGGATCATGCCCTCCAGCTGCTCGCGCTGGCTGCCGTCGATCTGGCGCACCAGCTGCACCGGGCTGCAGGGCACCGGGCCGCCGCCGGCCGCCGAGCCGTTGCTCGTGTTCAGGCTGTGGCAGTACTGCATGATCAGCTGATGCTCGTCCTCACTGCAACAGAGAGCGAGAAAGAGGGATGGGTTAGTCGCTGGGCGGCGGGCGCCTCACACGGCCGCCGCCCGCACCGGACAGCGGTGCCCCGCGGGCGGGCTCCGAGGCTCGATGGCCAACGTCTCAGAGCCTTCAGCGGCGCAGTTACGACTCACCATGGCCCAATTCAGCGACCTTCTTGAAAGGAAGGTTATCAGGCGGGCAACATAACCTCAATGGTGATGACGATCAGATTATTTTACGGCCGATTTCAGTGCGCCACGCCTACCCCATATAAAGCGCTGTATGCCAACATTCCGTAAGACGTGCCTGGGCCGCCTGAAAGCGCCGGCGAAACATACCGGACGTTGGGAGGAGGCCAGGCGCTGACCTGGCCTTCTAACGGACCGGTCGGCGGCGGCCTCACCTCTCGGGCGTGGAGTAGCTGCGCGTCTCCGTGTCGGACATGCGGCAGCTGCTGTTGTAGAGCTGTCCCCGCTCCGGCGACTGGTGCTGCGGCGAGGCCGTCGGCGACTCCAGCGCGTCCCCCTGCCGGCCGGGCGGCACGTCACACGCCGCACAGCTGGTCCGGACGCCAACCCAACGACCATCCACAAACATCTAGTGGCCGCACCAACACGGCAGCAGGTTACCCGGCTCCAGCCGCCCGTCCGACTCTTCTTCGCGCGGCGATCACGGCGACGAGGCTCGCAGCGACGACCCACCTCGAGAACCGTCTGCACCGGCAGGTAGCCCAGCTTCGGGTGCTTCTTGAAGTAGCGCTTCGACTTGAACTTGTTGCGCAACGACTTGGTGAAGTCCTTGATGTCGTCGCTGGACGAGCTCTGCGGGCGGCGAGGACTTGGTTGGTCAAATGTCCCCACACCGGATCTCAACGCCCATGACGGCGAACACACCGCCAGCGACGCAACTAGCGCAACACCGACCTGCACGATAGTCCATGTTTCCACCAAAATCCCCGACCCGACTGCTGCTGCTGCTGATGATGATGACGAAAAAGCCAGCTGATGCGTGCCAATGAGAGACAGCACGCGGGTGTGTACACGCACGGCCTCCGACGGGCCATATTTGCACACATCGACGAGATTTCGGCGGCCACCAGTTCGGCTCACCATCAGGACGTTACAAAAGCTAATAGTAGCGGCGACCACACAGTCAACACCAGCAGCCAACAAGCGGACACTGTGCCCGCGGCCAGCAAACACTCATTCGCGCCGGGCGAGGTGGTGCGTCGGGCGGCGGGCCGCCACAGGGCTGCCGGTGTCGTCTGGCTGCCAGCCGAGCTCACCTCCGTACAGTACTCGTGCATGGGATGAGTCAGCTTATGGCTCTTGGAGACGCGGCCGGTGAAGAAGCACTCCTGACACATGTCGAAGTTGAAGCACTTCAGGCACCGGTACCTGCGGGCACGGGGCGACCTTGAGGGAGCGGCGCGCGCGCGGCCGCCGAGGCCCTGAGACGGCGCCGTGTCGTGACGACAGCCCGGCTCGACAAACACCGCCGATCCCATCACTGCACGCAAACCGAGCGCCGCACTCGGCGGACGCCGCGGAGCCGCCGCCGGTGGAGCCCGGACCGGCGTCTTTCACACCTGCTGTACTGCGCAGGGTGTCGCGCTGCACCTACCCTATCCTATCCTATCCCGTCCCATTCTATTCTATCCCATCCTATCACCCTATCCTATCCTATCCTATCCTATCCTATCCTATCCTATCCCATCCCATCCCATCCCATCCCATCCCATCCTATCCTATCCTATCCTATCCTATCCTATCCTATCCTATCCTATCCTATCCTATCCTATCCTATCCTATCCTATCCTATCCTATCCCATCCTATCCAATCCTTTCCTGCCCTATCCAATCCTTTCCTGCCCTATCCTGTCCCTGGCCGGGCCGGCTCACCTCTGCCGTGTCCTCTACGCCCCTCCCTCACATACGGCCATCCCCGCCCCCCAACTGGCGACTCGGGGCCCCACCGAGCGCCTCCGCCGCTGCCGCCGTCGGGCCCACCTGAAGCCGATGATCGGGTACTCCTTGCAGACGTTACACTTGGCCTGGTGGCGGGCCCGCTCGGCGCCGGCCACCCGGTGCAGCACCGGCAGCCAGACCAGGCTCTGCGGCTCGTGCTTGAGCCAGGCCAGCAGGTGGACGGCCTCGATGGTGGTGCGCTCGCCGCCCGCCTGCTGGAAGCAGCTCCGCACCGACGGCTCGATGTTGGAGCCGCCGAACGCGGCCACCTCGCCCAGCTGGCGCGGCAGCTGCACCAGGTCGTGCAGCAGCAGGCCCAGCTTGCGCTGGTCCGCCTGCCGCTGCGGGTCGGCGATCAGCCGGAACATGTCTGCGGGCGCCGGCAGACACGGCAGGCGTCAGCAGACGGCCAGGGTAGGTCAGGGGTACGGGGGAGGGTCAGACACGACAGACGTACGACGGCCACAGCGTGTCTCACAATACGGGAGAGCCGGCACATGTCTGACGATATGGAAGCGGGACGGGAGAGAGCTCCAGCAGACAGCCGAAACATACACATGTCTGATGTCATGTCAGATGTCATCAGACATGAGCGATCGGCCAGAATAGGTCCGAAAACATAATGACACCATAATGACGGCACACATTCGCAGTCATACCAAACACGTGCGCAAACGTCACACAGGGGTGCCATCGGGCATAGCCCACGGCCGTCCGCTGCAGAGGAAGGCCAGCAGACACGGCGCACACAGACCATCAGACATGACGGACGGATGGTAAGACATGACACATACACACAGCTACACAATCGGTCGCATCCAGCTAAGTCATCAGACGTGGTGGACGATTTCTCTGACACGGACAGTCAAACATAGCAAACACACATTCGAACTGTCCAACATAGCAAACACACATCCTGACAGTCAAACACAACAAACACACATTCCTAGTCAAACGCAGTCATAAGGCACCGGCTGCCTCCTGCAGACGGAGTGGGTCTGAAGTACACACACCATGGCACACCGGGCACTGGGCATGCCCGGCCGAACACCGAGCAGACCTCATAAATACAATGAGACGCGACATGACACCGCCGATCGGACAATGGCCCAAAAGGAATAAAGCATAGCCAATCACTGAAGTCGTGATGAGGATGGGGGCGCCTGGCGGGGCGCCCACGTGCCAGGAGACAAGGCCCACACTTCGCCAGTCACCGCGTGAAGTGAGCGCCGCCAACCTGCTCGTCATACACAATACCAGCGGCGCCCATATCTGACTTCATCATGCAAAATACGACCTACGGCAGACCGCTCGGCGATCGGCCAAACAGTGCCGCATTGAGGCCGGCAGAATGGCATGTATGCAGGCCGCACCAGCCCGTGCTCGGCGCGCTGGCGCACCAGACACCGAGAGACGCCCGTCTGGCCGAGCGGCCTGTACACTCACAGCGGTACTTCTCCTCCAGGTGGCCCTTGGAGAGCGCCACGATGCCGACCTTGAAGGAGAGCACGCGCAGCTGGCCGGTGCGCTGGCTGCGGGGCAGGCCGGGGCGTGGTCAGCGGACGGCGGGCGGCGGGCCGGCGAGTGGTCAGCGGGCGGCGGGCCGGCGAGTGGTCAGCGGGCGGCGGGCCGGCGAGTGGTCAGCGGTCAGCGGGCGGCGGGCCGGCGAGTGGTCAGCGGTCAGCGGGCGGCGGGCCGGCGAGTGGTCAGCGGGCGGCGGGCGGCGGGCCGGCGAGCGTGGTCAGCGGGCGGCGGGCCGGCGAGTGGTCAGGGGGCGGGCGGCGGTGGTGGGGCGGGGGCCGGCGAGTGGTCAGCGGCGGCGGGCGGCGGGCCGGCGAGTGTAGCGGTCAGGGGGCGGCGCGGCGGGGCGAGTGGTCAGCGGTCAGGGGCGGCGGGCCGGCGAGTGGTCAGCGGACGGCGGGCGGGGGCGGCGGGAGTGGTCAGCGGGCGGCGGGCCGGCGAGTGGTCAGTGGTCGCGGACGGCGGGCGGCGGGCGGGGCGAGTGGTCAGCGGGCGGCGGGCCGGCGAGTGGTCAGCGGGCGGCGGGCCGGCGAGTGGTCAGCGGGCGGCGGGCCGGCGAGTGGTCAGCGGACGGCGGGCGGCGGGCCGGGGCGGGCCGCAATCTGGGCCGGCCGGCGCGTGCCGCCCGGCAGCCGCTCATCTGCATGCGGCGGCGGCCGGCGGCGCGCCGCCCGGGACCGGCCGGCTATCAGATGCTCGCGCCGGCCGACGCCGAGCGCCGCCGACCGCCGCCGCCGGTCAGCCGGCCCGGCCGGGCGGGCAAGGGTCCACCCACCCGCCGACCCACCGACCCACACTCACCGGCCGTCACACGCACACACACACACACGGCGCCAGCAGCAGCGCAGCCAATCAAACCGAAATACCAAGCAGCAGCGTGCCGCAGATAGGACAGGGCGGAACCTACTTCCCCCAGCAGCCCTCCAGCACGGGCCAGCGCCAACAGCCACTCGACTCCCGACACGCTCAATGGCCAGCCAATTTGCGCCTCATCACCACCGCCGGGTAACCAGAACTTCTTATCTGCACCACCTTCGCTTCCAGCGCGGATCCAATACCGAGTGAGCCACTCGACACCGGACCGAAAGCCATTGGAAAGTCGACAAGTGCCCACTTAGCCTTGCATACCGCACCAGCTAGCCTTGCCGCGCCGTTCGCCCTCGCATACGGCGGCAGAGCTCATTGAATATAGAACGATCGGCTGGTAGGTGGTGCCCGCCGCCCCTGAATGCCACCATGACCCGATCCGCCCCGACCTCATCGCGCCGCCCGCTTCCATCGACCGTCGACAGATCGTAAACCGATTGATGTATGCCTCCCGCCATATACAAGTAGGTCACAGCGCGTTTCACTTTCGACACGGATTGACTTGGCAATCCGATGTCTCCCTATCGCGGTTGAAAACCAAATTAGAGGGTACATTTTTCTGGCACCCAACGACATGAATAAACGATATAAAGTGCAGGGAAAGCTCAAGGAGCAAACCACAGCAGCGGGGACGGGCGATATCTCCATTACCTGGCAAGCCGTCGCGCATCGTGCGAATTCCTTCAAAATCAATCGCAATACATGCATGAACACAGTTTACCAGCTGCCCAAATCCCATGACATGACGTCCGTTTCGCTGAACCGCAAATCTGCGAATTCTTTTGAGATCAAAAGGAACCTATGCATGAACACAATTTACCAACGCTCCAAATCCACGCCATGAATACGACTTGCATTTCAACACTGATCCCTTCAACTGAAACCAAGCGGCGGCACATCACGAAGCCGGCCCTGCCAGCGCGGGCGACACCGCCCCGTGTCATCTGACAGCAGCAGCGACCGCCAGCCTCTGGCGGCGTCGGCCGCGGCCTGACCCACCTGTCGTAGACGTTGAGCAGCCAGTTCATGCAGAGGTCGAGGCAGACGGGCATGTCCACCTGCTCGGCGCTCTCGGCCGCTATCGTCTCGTACAGCGTCGCCAGCACGGTCAGCATGTCGGGCACGTCGATCAGCTTATCGTTCTGCGCGCGCAGGCCGTGTCCGTCGAAGGCCTCGACGGCGTGCGCCAGCGGCAGGTGGTGGAGCGCCAGCCGCCGCTGCAGACGGCGCAGCTTCAGCGACGTGCGGTACGCCGAGAAGCGCACCGTGTTCAGCTGCGACAGCGACTGCATCAGCTCGCTCAGCTGCGGGTGGTCCCACTGGGTCTGCTGCGTGGCGTGGTTGATGTAGTAAGGCACTTGGTTGGCGGCCGCCGAGCGCTCCCAGGGAGGCTGGACGGAGCGGCGCAGGAAGCCGGCGGCGGTGTGCGGCGCCGCCGGCCGGCCGCCCGACACCTGTTGGTAGCGCTCGTCCATGGCCGCCGTCAGCGACTTCATGCGCGTGTTGAGCGCCTCCAGCCGGGACAGCTGCGCCGGGTTCAGTGGCACGCTGCCGACGCACAAAGGTCACAGAGGTCACAGGGGTCACTGCCTCGTGACTGGCTGGGCGCAGCGCAGCGTCTGGCTACACCAGCTGCCCTCATTGGAGACAGGAGAACATTGGGAAGGCGGAGGAAACGGCAGGGACGTGTATGCAATGCCAGGCAATCCCAATACCCATTATCACACGTGCGCCAACAATTCGAACGTTGGTAAAGGCAACAATGCTTGATGCACGACGCATGACTTCCACTCGTTCCGAAAGCTTTCGAAAGTTTCAACTCAACAGCTGCTTCCACGGCAATAGGCAGATACAAAAGTAGCACAGTTGTCGGGAAAATATCTCCTCGAATTTTACTTCGATGACTACCACGTTGTTATTGTTGGCCAGCCCACCCATGATCAGACAATTTCTGGAGTGTCTAACCCCCTCCGCCACCTCCCACCACCAGACGTTCCTTGTGAACGCCTGAAACTCCTGACCAGAGCCGCCATGTGTGTCTGACGCTGCTGGCCAGACCATCACCGTCTTCATTATCCGAGCGTAAGGCACCAATGACCGTAGCCCCTCTCTGAATGTCAGGCATCCCTGACCAAAGCCCCCTCTGAATGTCAGGCACCCCTGACCGGGCCCCCTTCGAGTGTCAGGCTCCCTGACCAGAGCCTCCTCTGAGTGTCCAGTACGGGAGTTCTCTGAGTGTCCGGCACCCCTCACCAGGGCGTTCTTAGTGTCAGGCATACCTCAACGTAGCCTCCTCGGAGTGTCAGGCACCCCTCGCCGAGGCCTTCTCTGACCACCCCACGCCCCGGGCCATACCGATCCCGGCGCGGCCTGACCGTCTCACCTGTTGGCCGCCAGCCGCGCCGCCTGGTCGTTCACGTCGTCCAGGCTCCGTTGCGCGCCCACCAGCTGATTGTTGAGCTGCTTGTACTGGGTGACGTCACCGTCGGTGGTGACGTCATCCTTGGTCCAGCCGCCGCGCGCCAGCTCGGCCTGCGACAGCCGCTCCTCCACGTCGTTCATGCACTTCTCCAGCACGTGCATCTTCTGCGGAAGAGACGGGGCGTCGTCGTCACGGCGGACCCACCGCAAAACACGAAATTCACGTGATACAACAAATGTGGCTTCGCCAACGGCTTTCGCAGAATATCAACTAATTAACGCGAGTTTGGTGTTTCGTTGTTCCTTAAATAAAGCGGAGGTTCAACCAGCGTGGGGCGTGTTGCTAACGATGAATACAAGACGGCCTGCTGTTCGACGCACCCTCCAGTAGAAAGACGTGCGCGAAAGACGCCTTATACGGTAGAGACGCGGCCTTCAGCCGGGTGACCATCCGGCCGCCAGCTAGTGATGCGAGCAGACAGCCCGCTCGTGACCACTCGCACCAGACATGTCCACAGAACACACACACACACACACACGCGCGCGCGACCGCGGAATCACGGTGGCGGGAGATGCGACAGGGCCGGGGTGCAGTGAGAGCCGGAGGCACTGTCCGGCGCCACCTGCCTCGGACACACCACAAGACGCTAACTGACCGACGCCGGACAGGACCGCGCCGACTGGCGGTCGGCGACCAATCTCGGCGCCACCCGAGCCAGTGGCGGCTGTGGCGGCCCCGCCACTGCTGGATGTCGCGGCGGCCCCGCTCGGCGGCCGCCTCAGCGCGGCGGCGGCTGACACGGCATCGACATGGCCGGGCAGCAGGCCCTGTGCGGAGCGCCCCCTCCGCGCTCCAGCCCAAACACACCGCCGCCGGCTGCGTGCCGCGCGAGCCCGGCAGGACCAAGCGCTCCGGAGAAGGCACGCCGCCGGCCGCGCGCCTCCAGACACTCGGCGCGCCCCTGGCGTCTTGGCCGGCTCCTCTTATCCAATTGAGAGCAATTGGAGCTGGTGCTCCCGGACGTGAACAGACACCGCCCGGGGGCACGCGCCCCTCACACAGCCCCGCTGGGCACCGCTGGCGGCGGCGGAGGCCGGCCGCGGTCGAGCGTCGGCCGCCGCGGCGCCGCCCGGCTCCACCACCCCATCAGCGGCGGCCCCGCCGACCGCCGGCCGTAACTTCGCCCACCTCCGGCCGGCTAATACCCAGGTAAGCCGGCGGCTGGGTCGGCGCCGGCGGCCGCGCGGCCGGTCGCGGTCGGCGTTGAACAACGATCGGCCGCACCGCGCGCGCCCACATTGTTCCGTCGGCCGACGCGGTGAAAAGAGACAAATAAATGTGGGGAAGTAAATGGACGCCGGCTGCGCTCCGAGGACTGAAAAGGAGCCGCACTATGGACGAGAGCAGCGCAGCAAACAATGCATCACAGGAGGATCCGGGTAAAAACGCCCACCGCCTGCTGCTCTACACGTGTCTTCTCATATGATCCGTGCCGGTAGCCAGAAAAGCATCATATTTCCCCGGAGAAATATAAGACGGAGCTTGTGTGGGCTTAGGAAGCCAAATGACTGACCCAAATGGAACTGACGTTCCTCTCGCCACCGCCTACATTCCACCGGCGTCATCGGGTAATTGGCGCTCGGCGTAGGCCAGACCCAGCATCGGTCGACCCACGGGAGACCAGCGAAACGTACCGCCCGCGTACTCCCAGTACCACAGCTCACGCCCAAAGACCATGCCGATCTCGACATCGCAGTGTGCCGGGGGGAGGCAGCTTTGGGTGGCGCCTATCCGAGCCGTGCCACGCGACAATCCAAACGCCATATCCCACGGTGCGCGGTGCCTTTTACATCCCCAGGGAACGGTTGAACAATGCACAGGGCCGACCCATGGGAAGGCCTCTGCAGCTTTCCAACTGCAACGACCTCTCCGACGTCTGCCCCAATTCCCGAGCAAATTTATAACAGACGTTTGCACACTACCACCTGAAACAGAAAATATCCAGACCCGGCCACGGCCGACGGCGGCCAGGGCCGCGCCGAGAGAGAGCGCCCTTCTCCGTCACATGGACGGCTGGGCCGGCGGTGCACGCGGCGGGCATGTAGCGTCGGCCGCCGTCTCTGCCCTGCGCCGCACGCTGCCGGCTGCCCAGCCGGACACGCCCCCTCCCGTGCGCCGTACCGGCCGCATACGCCCCACGCGCAGGCCGCACCCGACCGGACCACGCCCCTCCCACACATGTCAAAGAGGCGGGAACCCAACGGCCACGATGAAGGGACGGCCGCATGGACCATGCGATCTCACGTCCCCCACTCGACACAGACGCGGGCGGTAGCCGAACAACGCCCACCTCTCGGACCCAGAACGAGTCGGGACTGCGCGGCAGCGAGTCGGCGCGGGCGGCGGCGCGGCTCAGCGACGGCGACGGCGACGGCAGCGGCGACGGCGGCGACTCGGGCGAGCGCCGGGCGCGCCGGCGCCGCAGCGTCAGCAGCAGCGGCGAGCGGGGCGGCCGGCTCTCCTCGGCCGCCAACTCGGCGTAGCCCCAGAGTGGGCTGGGCGGGCCGAGCGGCAACGGCCCGGCCGGTGACGGCAGCGGCCCGGCCGGCGACGGCAGCTGCCCGTCAGGCCACGGGAACAGCAGCAGAGAACCGCCCACGCTAGGCGAGTACGGCGAGTGCAGCTCGGCCACGCGCAGCGGCGAGCGGCCGGTCGGCTCCGACCCAGAGCCGAGCGCGCCGCACTCGGCGATCACGTCCAGGGCGGGCAGCGGCGGCGGCGGCGGCGGCAGCGCCAAGGTCGCCGGCCGCGGCGGCCGCACATCCACGCCCGCCTCCATGGTCACATGGCAGGACACCGGGCGTCACAATCACACGGGCGCGCGTCTCGGCGGCCGCCGGCACCGCTGCGGCGCTCTCGGGCGCGCACGGTGCCGTCCGTTCGCGGGCCGGCCGCCCGGCGTCACACCTGCGCGCGCGCGGCCCGCCGCTGCCCGGCCGGCGCGCGGCTCGCCGCCCGACTGGCGCCGCCGCGCCACCGCCGCCGCCGCGCCGCGTCCCGCCTCTCGCCGTGACCCGGCCGGCCGCCGGGTCAGCCGGTCAGGTGCGCCGGCCGCCCAGCGCCGCCTGTTTGTGCGTGCGTCGCGCGAACGACCGGCCGGCCGGCCGCCGGTGGCGTGCCGCTGCGATACCATCTGCGCTCTCTCCCTCCCTCTCTCCTGTATCTGCGCCTCGGCGGCCTTTCTCCGGTCGTCTGCGGGCGGCGCGGCGGCCGCCCCTGACGCGAGAGAGACGCCCGCCTCGGTACGGCCGCCTCCGACGGGACACCGCCGTGCGGGGTCGGCGCCGCTCGGCGACCGTCGGCGCACGGCCGAGCGCCGTGACCGCGGCGGCGGCCGGCCGGCACAACACCATCAACTGCAGCCGGCCGGCCGGGCGGCGAGTGGGCGCCGCAGATGACGTGGGAACGGGGCGGGGCAGCGTGACGGCAGGCCGGCCGGCCGGCCGGGCGGAGGCGCCGGAGATCGCGCTTCTCACACCGGCGCCGCGCCGCGCCACGCGCGCGGGCGGCCAGGCGCCATCTGTCGGAGCGATGGGCCGCCCGGCGCTGCGTAACGGACGGTACGTGAGTACGAGCCCTTATACGGTGCTAGTTGTCCTATATACTTATGGATGTAAAAGCCCGGAGGACGTGGCCATCAAAAGCCAAGAGGCCACGCCACTTGGTCACAATACGTCACTCCCTTGTAACCCGTTTTGATGGATGGCCGAAGCTGGTGGAAGGCCACATGGACCACCGTCATGACCGAAACCTTCCACTACGTATGCTCAATGCAATATAAGCACCGATGCTGGACCAAGTACGGTTTTGCTGACAGACACGGAAACGATGTTCCACTTCATGGCTGCGCACGGTGACAAAGCGTGAGTAGTGAAGTGGAGAGAACCCCCACCCACGATCCGCCTCATCACGCTAGCAGCGTCGCACGGAATACCATCCCGCAAAACCGGGCTCCACAGCGAAGCCAATCAACCGTTCCGCCTTTCACCTGCGAGATGCCACCGCATTGCGCGACGGACGCGCCCACCGACGGCCAGCGGCACGCGACGAGCGCACCGTGCCGTGAACACCAGCCGCACGAGTCGGACGTTCGCGGCGACCACCACGGACCGCCCATTCAGCTGGTCAGTACGGACTGACTGTTCAGTACTGCTGCTGCTGCGTGCGGCCGGGCCGCACAGCGGCGCTCCGCTCCAGCCGGTCGTTCGGCAGAGCTACTGCAGAGCTCAGCTGACGCGCTAGGGACAGGCCGGTCGGCACCGGAGGCCCGCGCCAGCCACCGGCCATTAGACCGTCCGTGTACCACGCGCCGCCGAGCGTTCGGGGGCGACCCCGCGTGCCGGCCGACGGGCCGTGCCGTGGCAGGCCGCGACCGGCCGCGGCCGGCATCCGTGTCAAGGCCACTATCGCGGCGCGGACTCGGCCGTCTGGGCGCGACAACAACAGCCGGTGTGGGCCAGACGCGGCACCAGGTGTGCGCCGGCCGGGAACCCCGCCGGCGCCCGACCCGCGCCGGCTCCTGCCGTCGCGTTCGCCGCGGCCGGTGCTCATGTCGGGGGCCGGCCACGGCGTCGGCCGGCGGCCGGCGGCACGCGCCACCCGCGGGGCGGGAGCCGTACTACCGGCTCACGGCCGCGCCGCCGCAGCGCAAAACTGGTAGTGATTTATCGTTCGTCCTTATACGCCCGGCCGGTCCACTCCGGCGACACGAAGTCGCCGCCCGATGCCGCCGTGGATGCCGGGCAAAGCCGGGCAAACCGGGGCCGCCGGCGGGTTCACAGCCGCGATCGAACCGAGGCACGCCAAGGACAGCAGTCCGGTTGTACTCATTACCGGGGACAACACGCGCCGTGCGGCGGGCACGGAGCCGGCCTGTCCCTGCTCCGTGCCGGGCCAGCGGGTCCCTGCCCTGTAGATCAAGGACACACCGATAGAGCACTCCCGTACCCGGTGATCTAGCGGCCTCTCTGCCGTACAACGGGGAAGCCAGCGGGTCCCTGCCCTGTAGATCAAGGACACACCCATGGAGCACTCCGTATCCGGTGATCTAGCGGCCTCTCTGCCGCACACTGGGGGGAGCCAGCGGGTCCCTGCCCTGTAGATCAAGGACACATCAATAGAGCACTCCCATACCCGGTGATCTAGCGGCCTCTCTGCCGTACACCGGGGGAGCCAGCGGGTCCCTACTCTGTAGATCAAGGACACATCAATAGAGCACTCCCATACCCGGTGATCTAGCGGCCTCTCTGCCGTACACCGGGGAGAGCCAGCGTGCCCCTGCTCCGTAAGACAGCCCGCACGCCGCTCGGTGGCTGCCGCGGCCGCTGAGCCGGCGCATCGTAGCTCTGTAGACCGGAGACACGCGGCGGCGCCGCATCGTGCGCCTTATCTGCGGCGCACAGGCCGAGCGGCCGCCGGCGCTCGGGGCCGGCGGCCGGGCCCGGCCCGGATCGGCCGCGCCAGACGGGTCTGGCGGGGCGCGCGGCACGCCGCCACCGCTAACGATCGCGTCACCCGACGGCAATCAGTCCCTGCCGCGTCCGGCGCCCCGACAGAGCCGCCGGCGGCGCGGGACCGCTCGCCACGCCCGCCGGCCGCTCCGGCCAACGACTCGCGGCATGTTCAGGGAAGTTGTTAGCTATCGGGAGCTCCCGCTGTCGTTTGTTCATGATCGGACCTCCTTGCCGCGCAAGACAAATGCTGTCCCTTCCGCGCCAGGCGAAACTGGTAGTGATTTCGGCACGGACGCGAGCTGAAATCTACGCTGCACCGTCGACCGCTTGACAAATGGTGGTCTGGTTTTGCAGGGCGCCGCTTGAGTGGTAGCCAATCGAAAGTGAAGAAGTCCTGTCTTCAATCTTGCAAAGAGAAAGGTGCTTTAAGTTTCAACAACATTTGAGGACGCGACAAAGCTATGACACCGCAAACAGTAATAGCTATCAGCTACACATAACATGTGATATATCTACACCACACACTACGTCGATTCCATCACTGTTGGCCATTCGCGTTAGTGCCGCATTCGCAAACACTAAGGTGGCAACGCCTCCAAAAACTCCTACGGCATCACGAAATTTTACCTGTGCACTAAATGTCGAACACGACTTCCATCGTTAGGAATCGAACTTCGAAAATGTAATCCAAGCGGAGAGCTTCCCAGTCCCTTTAGTCAACTTCTCGCGCGGTAAAGTGGGCTTAAAGTTTAACCACTGATCCTGGAAGGCCGCGGGCGAGTTTAGCGCGGCCGGCGGCCAGCCCGCAGCGAAGTCGGCAGGCCCGGCACCGGGCAAGCCGGGCTCCATTTCTCAGCGGGCCGTCACCGGCCGCCGGTGACCCCCGCTGCCACGCCGACGCGCCGCCCACGCCTGGCGCATGGGGCGCGGCGCGCACCGCGAGCCACGCTGCCCGACGCGTGCAGCCGGCGTCGCCCGGTGTCGGCAGCTGATCCTCCGCCTTACGACAGGATCAGAGCTAGCGTGACCGGCAGTGGCCGGTGACGGACGATCCGGCCCGCCGGGCAGCCACACGGCGCCGCCTCCGGTCCCGCGAACCACCGGAGATCGGAGCATGCCCCGAGTCCTTGCATAACGTCCCGGCCGGCGCCTCGCACGCGCCGCATTGTTTGGTTGCCTATGGTAACGGAATCAGACGGGCCAGATCATTACCAATGAGCTGAGCGGAGAATATCGGAAACAAAAGACCGCCGAACCTTACGCACAGGGACACCAACATCCCGTGTGGTGGGACCGCCCACGAAGGTAGCATGTGGCGCGAGTGCCGAACGTTGCGCCACGGACATAATCTGCGAAACACCCACAGTTTTAAGGAACTGCGGAAAACGGAATCGCAATCAATTCATCTAGACCCCGTTGCCACTCACGACACTGGGGCGTGATACACTGGGGACGACTCTTCAGATGTGCGTCTCACAAATCACCCACTTTGAGGGCAGCTCCGAGCATTTACATCGTCGTCTCGCCGGCGCGTTCATCTTACGGTGATCCCACGTCGCCGCTCCAAATTGATCTGACTACATTCATCACGTGAACAGGACGATCAGGAGTTTCATCACGGCGCGTTCCGGCGCGGGAGCGGGAGCCGGTGCGGCGGACGGGACGGGGACGGGAACATCGCACCCACTCGGGCGGCAGTGGAGGGAGCCGGCCGACTCCGCGGTCGGCAGGCGAGCCTCGCTCGGCGGCCACCGCCTCCGCCGCCGGTGCAATCGCAAGCCGCCTCGGCACGCCGCTGTCGGCTGACCTGGGAGCATCGATTGCGGCCGCCACGCCGGGCAACCGGCCCGAATAGAGGGCGCCACGCGGCCGGCTGGCGCTGAGGGCGGCAGCTCGGCGGCCGCATTACCGCGCAGGATGGGCCGCGAGCCGCCCACGCCGAGCAGACACCAGCCGGCCGCTGACGGGCCATTCAGGGCCGACGGCAGCCCATGCCCGGCGTGCAACGGCCGGCCACACGGAGCACAGATCAGCCGCCGCCTGCCGCAGAACGGGCGACACCTTGCGCCCCGCGCGGGCCACGCGCCGGCCCATACGGCCCAGGGAACGGTCGGTACATTGCGCGCCATGCCAAGAGGGTGGCGGCCGACGCATGACCGAGCATGGCCGACCAGCAGCGTCACACATGGCACAGCATCGGCCGGCCACGTCACGGACAGCGGCCGGCCACGTCACGGACAGCGGCCGTCACGTCACGGACTAGCGGCCGGCCACGTCACGGACAGCGGCCGCCACGTCACGGACAGCGGCCGGCCACGCACGGTCTATCAGGCACAGGAGAGGTCTTGCAGCCAGTCACAGCTCACATCACGCCCCAGCGGGGCTGGCGGCGGTTTAAGCGCCCAGCGAACGACTCCAGCCTCACGCTATGCTCTGCCGCCTGACGCACAGTGACTTAACAAAACCAAGTGAGCGATGATGAGGGCTTACGGGAGCTTTAACGGCGTGGTTATACACAAACCAGGCGAAAGAAGAGCTGGATGCGGCACGTGTTAGATGGCGTGTGTGTGTGAGTGCGTGCGTGATATATTGTGCGTGCTGTGTAGCAAAGTGCCAGCCTGCCTCATAAGTCTTATGGTTTTGGACGCATAATTATGAGGACCGATGCCACTGAAGCATGGGGTTAAAAGCGTATCGGCGCACGCGTCGCCCACCATTAGCCGCTAATCCCAAACGTGAGTCCCTGAATGCTGCGCAGTGAGAGGCGAGCTCGGCAGTGAAGCCTGCTTGGATAAATACGGCGAATGCAGCGATTCACATTTCGATCGTTGTGCACGGTTTCGAATTTAAGCACTGGCGCGCGGGGGTATCATTAGTTCAGTCCATCCAGGCTGGAGCAGAGCACAGCGAGCGACGGCTAGCAGGTGCGTCAACTCAACATGTGGTGCACATATCTGCGTTAAGTACATCCAGACTGCCGCACTGGCGGTGGCGGCGACGGCGCCCGTCCGATAAATCGTCCGCCTCTGATCAGTTTCCCGCCATAAATCGCCGCGCCGTCGCCGGCGCCGAGGCGAGGCGCGCTTCTCGCTCGGCCGACTCTGCGAGCGGTGACGGGGGCGGCCGCGCGTCGCCACCCAATCCCGGCTGTCAGCGCGCCGCGGCCCTCCCTTCCAGACCGGCGCCGCCGCACAAAGGTCCGTCGAGCCGCCGCCGGGCGGCGCGGGCGACACAGGCCCGAGCGGGCAGCTCCGGGCCGGCGTCGGACGACACAGCCCGAGCGGGCGGCACCGGGCCGTAGTCGGACGACACAGCCCGAGCGGGCGGCACCGGGCCGGCGCTGGACGACACAGCCCGAGCGGGCGGCACCGGGCCGTAGTCGGACGACACAGCCCGAGCGGGCGGCACCGGGCCGGCGCTGGACGACACAGCCCGAGCGGGCGGCACCGGGCCGTAGTCGGACGACACAGCCCGAGCGGGCGGCACCGGGCCGTAGTCGGACGACACAGCCCGAGCGGGCGGCGGCACCGGGCCGTAGTCGGACGACACAGCCCGAGCGGGCGGCACCGGGCCGGCGTCGGACGACACAGCCCGAGCGGGCGGCACCGGGGGGGGGGGGGGGGGGGGCGTCGGACGACACTGCCCGAGCGGGCGGCACCGGGCCGTAGTCGGACGACACAGCCCGAGCGGGCGGCACCGGGCCGGCGCTGGACGACACGGGCCCGAGAGCGGCGCCGGGCCGTAGTCGGACGACACAGCCCGAGCAGGCGGCACCGGGCCGCAGTCGGACGACACAGCCCGAGCGGGCGGTGCCGAGCCGGCGTCGGACAGGGGCCCGAGAGCGGCGTCGACTCACCACCAGCGTGGCGTCGATCTTGCGGCGGCACATGTCGGTCTGCTGGCGCAGCTCGGCCCACTTGTCGCTCAGCTTGGCCGTGTCGCGGCGGATGGACCGCACCAGGTCGCGCGTCTGCTCTGCGTCCGAGCGGTAGCCGCGGCCGTCGCCGTCCGCGTCGCTGCGCGCTGCAATAGATCAGATCAGGTCAGGTCAGGTCAGGTCAGGTCAGGTCAGGTCAGGCCAGGCCAGGCCAGGCCAGGTCAGGTCAGGCCAGATCAGGTCGGGTGGGGTCAGCTCGTGTCGGAGGGACGCCGCCGGTGCCCGGCCGGCCGCCGCCGCATCAGGCGTCTCGACGTCCGGGCCCGCTGACGCCAGCAACAGGTCCAGTTTGGCGGCGCCAACAGATGGATGGATGATGGTGACCAGCGAACCCAAATGACTACACTGGATCGCCTTGTGGACACATGACAACGAATATCGCGCCCATGGGCTCGCTAATCCTCACTCGTCTCCTAATTCACAGAATCAACAACGTTTCGATCAGCGCAAGGTCAGGACCAGGATCAATGCTCCGGAATATAAAACGACTCACGAATGACTCTTCACTCAGAAAGGCGATACAGCCGCAATCATCGCAGACGAGCTGATGTGCTGTAAAGTTGTAATAATCTCCACCTAGCGTCCAAATTATTGCTTGACTAATAGCAAGTGAAGTTTGTGCTCAACATCGGTGTCGCTTCCTGCGAGCACGAGCACCGCCTAAGGCTGAGCCCGCACGGAGTCAACCATCCGAGGGTCGTCAGCGATCGGGTAACTGTTGGGACACAACCCCGACAGTTCGAGGGGATATCCCACCACCTTCTGAAGGCAACGAACTGGTGATTCCCCCAGCAGACGTGGGCGCCGTTTTCGCAGTTGCGCCTCGAGCCTCACGAGCTCGAGTAACAGGACTGACGACCGGCAGACGACAGCGCACGCCGCACCAGCACGCGGGCGGTGTGTTACCGTAGGGGGATTGTGCTACAACGCTCAGTATTCCGCCAGAGACGAATGATAGCAATGATCTTATCAGGTGGGATCAGGCCATTTTCCCAGTGATCCGAGACTGTAATTGCTCCCCGCAACGATAGTACAGTTCAAATAATTGTTATTGTGAATACTTTTTCATTGCCGAAATAAATAATCTGGCATCACGCAGTTTCACTGTGGGAGTGGCGACACAGCCCGCCCGTCGTGCTGCCGAATCCAGGTCCCCGCGCTCGCAGCCGAATCTGCCCCCGTCCCAGAAGTGAATCTGCACCCAATCGTTGGCCGTGGGGGCCGGCAGGGAGCAGCGCGTCGCCAGGCCTCGGCGCTGCCCGGCTGCGGATGACCACCAGCGACCAGGTCACTGGCGGCATACCGCCGCAGGGGAGGTGCCCCGGCACCGGCCGACACCCGGCCATGCACCACCGCCGCAGGAGAGGTGGCCCGGCACCCGCCGGCACCCGGCTACACACCGTCAACGCAGGGGAGGTGGCCCGGCACCGGCCGACACCCTGGCCACGCACCACCGCCGCAGGGGAGGTGGCCCGGCACCGGCCGACACCCTGGCCACACACCGCCGCAGGGGAGGTGGCCCGGCACCGGCCGACACCCGGCAATGCACCACCGCCGCAGGAGAGGTGGCCCGGCACCCGCCGGCACCCGGCTACACACCGCCAACGCAGGGGAGGTGGCCCGGCACCCGCCGACACCCGGCTACACACCGCCAACGCAGGGGAGGTGGCCCGGCATCGGCCGACACCCCGCCGCTGAAGCCGTGCCGAGCCGCGGGCCACGCCTGGGTCTGTCCGGCTCGGGCGCAGACGAGCGCGTGTACTCTCCTCTGCTGTGCCGTCCCGCCGGCAGGGGAGCGCGACCGCTCGTGCCGCGGCACACACCACCAGACCCGGCTCCGATCTCGCGAGCCGGGCAGAGCCGAGCCGGCGCCGGCCCTCCCGCCGCAGATTAGGTCGGCACACGGCACAGACGGGGCCGGCACAAAAGCTGAGTAGGCCGGCGGCCGCAGCATCCGAAATGACGGAGGGCAATTTGTGGTGCGAACAATACCCGCCCGGAAAAACACGGCGGAAGCGCATCGCAATTGTTCCTGTACGCCACACGGAAAAAACAACGCTCCAAACGAGCAGCTGATGGTAACTTTCCCGCAGTTGGATTAAGCTCGACGTGCGGAGATATACTGAGATTCAGACGGTGCTCTCAAATCGTGGTAAGCGATGGGCACTCTCGACAGGATTGACAATACAAATCATGCCACTCAGTGGCTGTGGAACCTCGTTAAAGTTGAGCTGGTTTGAGTTGGTTATTTTTCCCCTGCCATTCGTACGGTTTATACTATTTTCCCTCTTTTCCGCCGTTGAGAGGGAAGCAGCTGCCCACCCCATCCCTCCCTAATGAGGTCGCCCCTGACGCCATGATACACTTCCTCGATGACAATCATGATGTCTTAGAAAGCTACCCAGCTGTAAAAAGAACAACCTACGCGGCGCAAAATAGCAAAAAATCCGAAAAATTCCGACAGCGCACAGCGGCAAAATCCTCGGTGAAACAACGTCTGACAGTACCCGAGGCGGATAAAACGACGGGACCAATCGGCCTGATCGCTCCAGCCGCCGGCGACGGCCGTTGGGAGGAGTTCCTCTGACTAAGCCCCCAACAATCGCCCATCACGACCGGGAAGTGTTCCGATGCTAGGGCGGCGGACGGCGGCAAAACACGTACCGCAGACGAAAACGTTGTGTGCCAGCGCGCTTGCAACACGGCGGAACTGTCTGCTTGGCAACGGCAGTTCAAATGACGTTAACGACGCGCGCTCGACTAGGGTGCACCGGCGCCAGCCGGAGCCACTGCACAGCCACAAGTTCCCAGAGAGAGGCTCTGCACCTCCCCGACGGCGGAATAGCTCGACGAGTGCAGTCCTCCACGTTGGAGTCTGATCCACAACAGCCAGATCATAGGAGACGAAACACACTTGTCCTTCGATGACAATCGTTCCTTGATTAAGAACGACGGCCGGCCTGTAGCAACAGGTCTAGCTGTGGGCCGCCGCGCGTCCGTACATCTTAATATTCGACAGCGGGCCCAAGGCCGGGATGTTACACCACTGCACGCCGCGTCTGTCGACGCAAGCGACGCCCCGGTCTCCGCCGATCATCGGGACAAGGCGTCCCGAAATACACATCAGCCGCCGGCCGAGCTCGCCGCGCCCAGTTCGTCGCAGGTGGTAACGGCCCGGCAGCGTCGCGCGGCGCGCCTCCGCCCGGTCCCGGCGGCGTACCTTCACTGTCGCTCGACTCGGAGAAGGCGGTCGGCTCGGCGGCGCTGACGGCTCGCGCCGCCTTCAGCTTGCTGTCGATCAGCGCCTGCTTGTCCTCCAGCTGGGCCAGCAGCGAGCGCACCTCCTCCTGCCGACACACAGACACACACGGCGTGACGCGCCTGCCGAGGGCGGGCGGGCGGGTGGGCGGGCGGGGCGGGGCGGGGCGGGACCTTCTACCCGCCGGCGGTCAGACGGGGCCGCGGAGCCGCTCCGCCACCCTCGCCCGGTCCGCACCGCGTCAACACCGCACCGCACCGCTGCCGCGTCAGGCACGGCAGCCGTCGCCAGCGCCTGATGAGATTAACGGCCAGTGTTCGCTGGCAACACAGGCACTCTTGTTGAAATGCGCACTGAAGCTCCCTGGCCGCGCCTCAGTCGGGCACGTCCGTCCTTCCAGCGTGAGGAGCCATCACGAGGCGATATACTCGTGAGGACTGTCAAAGCAAGGACACGTGCCAGGCGCACGACGCCGCAAGATTAGCTAGAAGCGTGTCCGCACTACAACGCACTGTGGACCCTCCCTGAGACACGCCGACCCAACAGGGGGTGGTGGGACCATGGTGATTTGTGAAGGCCAGCAAACATGGCCGGCGCCATTTCTGCAAAACATCATTGAGCATACGAGCCCGGAGGCTCTCCGGCACCCGACAGTGACAGTCCCTCCACGGGTCGGCTTCGGCCCGACAGCGACGGCCACGTCGCACCAGGCCGATGTTGTTTTTCAGCAGTCCGCCATCTGCACGCTACACCTGATTGTCACCGGACGTCTGTACACACGACTATGCGAGCCGGGCGGCCCTCGCCACACGCCGCCGCCTGATTAGCCGCCTTCGTTTGCGCCGACTATGGCGATGCTATCGTCGGACGGCTATTAGCGCGGAGTGGGACGCCGTGGTGGCGGTGGCGGCGGCGGTGGCGGTGGCGGCGGCGGCCGGGCCGCCACAAGCCAACGCCGGGCATATTATCACCACGCGGCTGAATACGAAGACAGCGGTACTCCCCCTCATGTTAGTTTCACAACGACAAATACTGTAGCACGCGCGTACTTGGTGAGAGCGGCTGAAGGTCTCAAAACCGACGTGACATCGCCACCACACTCTTAAAAACAAAGGCAGGTTACGAACGTGAGTTTCAGACACGATGACGTACAACAGCGCCGGCCGCGGAACAGCACCCCACCGGTCGGGCGTGTGCCGTCGACGGCGGCGGCGGCGGCACGCACCTGCTGCCGCTGCAGCGACGGCACGTCGCCGGTGATCAAGCCCAGCCGACCAAGCTCGGTGTCCTTGCGGATGGTCCACTCCAGCAGCTCGCGCAGCGACAGCAGCAGCGCGCTCCAGCTCTCGGAGCTGCTCTCCACGCGGTTCCTGGGGACGGACGCACACGACACCGGGTCAGTCGGCGGGTGACAGCGGCTGGGGCACCACCGCCCAGGCAGGCGGCCGTCGGTGACGTCAGGAGACGGCCTGTCGACCGACCGACCGGCCGCCGCTCTCGCGTCTTACAAGCCCGCCGGGGCAGCACCAGGCCTCGGCAGTCTATCGTCTCTCACGCGAGGAAGGAACACTTCATCATGTGAAGGCATCCGCCGGCCAATCTCTCGCGAAGCGACTAGAACTGTGATGGTTGCTTTGCAGAGCTAGTGGGGTCCGGCATACCGAAAATGGGTCTGTTGAGTAGTTCAATTCATAGTTTCACTATCTCCTCGATATTTCAGGCTTTTTTACGCGACGCTCTTTGCTGCCACACTTTGTGAAGTGACAAGAGACACTGCAGGAGGAGGAAGGTGCTTTCACATACTGAAACACATTATGACAACATCAATGGCAGCACTCTTGACCGTCACATTGCAGCGTCGTCGATTGCAAAAGGACGTTGCATGTTTAAATCATTTTTTTCTGCATCATTTATGCCTGGAAGATACCTTTGACAACCGCCATCTCGTCTCAATTAAGACAAAACTTGTTCGGAAACTTTTTGGCTGGTTCAATCTCCTAACAAATAACAAACGCTGCATCAGACTCCCTAGCGCAGAGTGAAGCGCCGTCATACAACATCCAATGCCTCTAGACGCGTTTAGTAACCCGATAGCTGCCGTAACATGATGCACCGACTGGACAGCGCTGTCATCACTTGTGGCGGCCGCTGGAATCGGACCCATCAATAGCCATTACAGCCTGGACGCCTTCATCTCGCCCCATCACGCCACGGCGAAAAACGACCAACACTCGACCAACACTCGACGGAATTTTAGTTTTCACCGCCGCCCGCGGACACAACGCGCCGCGTAAAGCGGTAGCAGAACGAGATAGAGCACGCAATCCTGTTCATAACGGCAGACTCGACCGAACAACGGCGTTCAATACTGCGCTCTCTCCGGCTCACACATTCGGGGCGTTTAGTCTTCAAACGCCGATGTGATGGGGACCCGCTTCTCCCCATCCGTTGCTCGCCTGTCTGCGCATTTCAGCGTCGGCATTTCAATAAGGCCAGCTAGTCTCCAGAGATACTCATATTAATCCGGGTAAAGATGCCACCCATTCCCTGGGGACTCGCTTCCGGCGACACCGAGGCGCCGCCGACTGTTTCATAAAGCCAGACTGTCGCCCAGCGACAAATACCGGCTGGGAGCCGCGGGACTGCACGGGCGCCGCACGCGCGCCCCACCAACAAGCGCGGGGCCGACCGTGCTCGGCTGTCGGCGCGCACCGGCAGCTCCGGCTGGCATCGGTGCCCGGCTCAGGATCGACCCAGAGTGGGTCTCCCGCCGGGGGCCAGACGGCACGCTCGTCTGCCGCGCCCGTGCTGACACCGCAGCCGGTCCGCGGCCGCCGGCTGCGCGGGCCGCCCGTCCGGTCGTCAGTCTCGGCCGGAGAGCGTGTCCCAGCTGCCCGGCCGCCGCCCGCCATCGCCGCGGCCAGCCGTCGGCTCCAGCACTCATGCGGCCGACGGGCTCGCGCCGGCCACCGCGGGACCGACGCCTCGCCGGCACCGAACGGGCGCTCACAGGGAAGGAGGCACGGCCGGGTCGCCACCGCTCACTGCCACACCGACCGGGGGCTCCCACTGACGTACCACCAGCACCACCCGCTGCGACCACGGCTGGGCTGCGTGGCTGGGACACTGCAGTACGTTGCGACAATGTCGGGAACATCAACCACTCTGGGACAACCAGCCGCTGCGCCGACGCGGCGCTCGCACCGAAACTCTGCGAGGACGGATGGGGCCCAATCGAGCCATGCGCTGGGGTCTGCTGGACCTGGCCAGGCCCTGATGGGGCCGGGCACGAGCACCCCGCGACCTGTGACGGTCGCTAACTGCCGGTGCGTGACTATCAGCGGTATGATGATCGGTCGGTAACCGGGCTAGGCGGTAAGCGTGCGGCACAGCATTGCATTAATATGAAGCTGCCGCCGCTCGGGGCCCGCGGCCGCAGCAGCGGAATTAAAGTACTGCCGTCCAAACAACTCACATACGGTCGATACCATTTGTGTCAAATAGTTTGTTACTAGCATGTCAGCATGCTCGGACTAATGCCAATGCTTTTGATACTGCAGCAGACATGCCTGAACCATAAATGACAACAAGTTAACTTTCGTCCAAATATCACAATCAGACTCATTGACTGAACTTCTATTTTAAGACTAATCGCATTAGCATGCAATTGCATGAGGTCATATATGTTTGTTCTGTCAAGCATCTCCACGATCACATCGGGACCCTCATCTGTCTCCATTACATGCCAAACCACACCAATACGCTCGCCGTGAACAGCCCACAGGCAGCGCTCGACACTCGTTAAACAATCTAGCGCGTTACCAGCCGTGCTACATTCTACGACACCCAATCAAGAGGTAATCCCACCGGTCCGACCATCGCCCACCCTTGGGGCCAGGTCAGCGGGCTCATTACGGAGCCTTACCCAGAACCAGCCACCTGCGTGAGAAGCAGTACCAGCACTGCGTCGCCGCCCGTCACCGGAGCGGGCACGAGGTGCAGTACAAGCACTGCACCGCCGCCCGTCATAGGAGCGGGCACGAGGTGCAGGACCATCACTGCACCGCCGCCCGTCTCCGGAGTGGACAAGAGGTGCAGTACAAGCACTGCACCGCCGCCCGTCATAGGAGCGGGCACGAGGTGTAGTACCATCACTGTATCGCCGCCCGTCATCGGAGCGGGCACGAGGTGCAGTACCATCACTGCATCGCCGCCCGTCATCGGAGCGGGCACGAGGTGTAGTACCATCACTGTATCGCCGCCCGTCATCGGAGCGAGCACTAGGTGCAGTACCATCACTGCATCGCCGCCCGTCATCGGAGCGGGCACGAGGTGCAGTACCATCACTGCACCGCCGCCCGTCACCGGAGTGGACAAGAGGTGCAGTACAAGCACTACACCGCCGCCCGTCACAGGAGCGGGCACGAGGTGCAGTACCAGCACTGCACCGCCGCCCGTCACAGGAGCGGGCACGAGGTGCAGTACCAGCACTGCAGCGCCGCCCGTCATCGAAGCACGCACGAGGTGCAGTACCATCACTGCACCACCGCCCGTCATCGAAGCACGCACAGCCGGCGGGCGCGCAATACGGGCGACGACCTGCGGCCGCGGCCGGCGGGGCTTCTTTCATTAGGCGCGCGGCGGCCGCGCGGCCTGGCCGCCGCAGGCCGCTGACGTTAGCCGCTCTCAATATTGGCGTCGGACGCACCGCTGACCGCCCGCGCCCGGCCGACGGCATCACCGGCTGACCGGAGATGACGCCTGCCCAGCGGCGCCGAGACGGACGCGTCGCCGTCCCGTCCGGTCCCTCGGCGCCCCACCGGACACGCACGGGCGCGCGCCGCCCTCCCAGCAGCGGGTATCAGCCCCGACCGGCTCGGTGCGGCGAGGCGAGGCTCAGTCCAGTGACGCCCGCCGGCTGACCGTCCCTGGCCGTATGTGTGCCTTCAGGACCGTCTGACCGTCCCTGGCCGTCTGTGTGCCTTCAGGACCGTCTGACCGTCCCTGGCCGTCTGTGTGCCTTCAGGACCGCCTGACCGTCCCTGGCCGTCTGTGTGCCTTCAGGACCGTCTGACCGTCCCTGGCCGTCTGTGTGCCTTCAGGACCGTCTCACCGTCCCTTGCCGTCTGTGTGCCTTCAGGACCGTCTGACCGTCCCTGGCCGTCTGTATGCCTTAAGGACCGTCTGACCGTCCCTGGCCGTCTGCGTGCCGTAAGGACCGGCTGACCGTCCCTGGCCGTCTGCGTGCCGTAAGGACCGGCTGACCGTCCCTGGCCGTCTGTGTGCCTTCAGGACCGGCTGACCGTCCCCGGCCGTTTGTGTGCCTTCAGGACCGTCTGACCGTCCCTGGCCGTCTGCGTGCCTTCAGGACCGGCTGACCGTCCCTGGCCGTCTGTGTGCCTTCAGGACCGGCTGACCGTCCCTGGCCGTCTGCGTGCCGTAAGGACCGGCTGACCGTCCTTGTCCATCTGCGTGCCCTAGGGACCGGCGGACCATCCTCGACCGTTCGTGTGCCCGGGCGGACTGTCCCTGTCCATTCGGACGGTCCTGAAGTCTCGACCTGAGGACCGCCGGCAAGACTGCCTGCTCAGGACAGCCGGTGTTCCAGCCCGTCCCTGCCGGCCGCCGGGCCGGCACGCCTCGGGCCGCTCACTCGCCCGGCCTGGGTGTCACGTGACGCGGCCTGTCCCGAGCCGGCCGCCGGTTCCCGGACAACACATGACCGGACCTGACCCAGCCGACCGACGTTCAGGTCGTGTCATTACCGCGCTAACCGAATTAACCTGCAGCAATTAGCGCCGGCACGGTGTGCTCGGCCGATTGCGTCCTCCGCCGGCAGCACGGCCAATTACCGCCCCGGCACGGGCCGCCAGCCGGCAGACCGGCCGCCGTCCACCCGCCGACCGTCCCGCCGCCACTGGGGGCGTCTCCCCGGACTTCGAGTCTCCCCCGGTACGGTGGTGGGTCTCCCCCTGCACGGTGGTGGGTCTCCCCCGGTACGGTGGTGGGTCTTCCCCGGTACGGTGGTGGGTCTCCCCCAGCACGGTGGTGGGTCTCCCCCGGTACGGTGGTGGGTCTTCCCCGGTACGGTGGTGGGTCTCCCCCGGTACGATGGTGTCTCCCCCGGTACGGTTGTAGGTCTCTCTGGCAAGACGGTGGGTCTCCCCCGGTACGGTCGTGGGTCTTCCCCGGTACGGTGGTGGGTCTTCCCCGGTACGATGGTGTCTCCCCCGGTACGGTTGTACGTCTCTCCGGCACGATGGTGGGTCTTCCCCGGTACGGTGGTGGGTCTCCCCCGGTACCGTGGTGGGTCTCCCCCGGTACGGTTGTAGGTCTCTCTGGCACGATGGTGGGTCTCTCCCAGCACGACGGTGGGTCTCCCCCGTTACGGTGGTGGGTCTTCCCCAGCAGGGTGGCAATCTTCCAGGTCCTTTTCTACCGTCCTACGTGCCTTCCGGATGATAAGCCAACCAGCATGCCCTTCACCTTGAGCAAAGCCAGCCTGCAGGGACCTGCTGCCGCACTGCTGCACAACTTGTGCGGGACAGCTGACGTCTCACGTCACCTCACTGGCCAGCCGGCCCAGCGCATACCGCGACCGAGAGCCGCGGAACCACGCATGACTAATCTGTATACACAAACGTGATCTTCGGCCCAGAGTTTGAGCATACCACGCACGAAAGGCACTGGCCTGCGCAAAACGGACACAGATATTCAGGATGAATGCCCGATTACGGAGACATCTCAGAGTGCTTCCACACGCTGACAGCAGGGATCAGGTCTGGATATATCTGCCCTTTCGACTATCGGTTTCCACTTGCTGCGTCCATGATCCCCTGGTTGAGGGAGCACGCACCCAATGCTATGGCAGACCGGGACGTATTCGTGATTGTGGAGGGCTCGCGAGTCATTAAAAGCCAGCAGAGCAGTCTGGGAGACGTCCGTCGTCAGCCACGCACGCCGCCAGCAGTCCCAGATGACAAAAACATTAGCGGTCCCCTCCCCCTCCTGCCGAAGCCAGGGCGGCGCCCCCGGACTCCTAGTCCTGCCGAAGCCGGGGGCGGCGCCCCAGCAGCATCTATGCTTCCGAAGAGTACCGGCGATGACGCCCCCACCCCGGGACGCCAGGTTATCCCAGGCTGCGCCCCTCCTCTGGCGGCACCGGCCGGAAATATCCCGGCAGGTCGTTGACGGGCGCGCGGCCCGCCCTCCGCCTGTGCGGCGCTCACTTGATGGCGACGGCGCGGTTCTTGAGGTAGTTCCAGCGATGGTTCATCTGGTCGAGTCGGCACTGCAGCATGGAGGCCTCCTCGGCGCTGTCGAGGCCGGCGCCCAGCTTCTGGCCGCTGGTGCTCAGCGAGGCGTACACGTCGCGGTGCGAGTCGATCTCGGTCTGCAGGTCCTGGGGACACACGCACCGACAGCAAACGGTCAGCCGGTCAGGCCGGTCCTGAGGGGCACCGAGGGTCCTCAGCGCCAGGTGTCCCCGATAAAAAGTGTTCGCAGCTCTGCGTGCGCACCTATCGAGCAAGATGTGCATCACTTGATGAGCACATGGTCGAACTTGTGCTTACAATTGGCATTAAGTGACCTCCCAGCGGGCTGCAAAACTTCACCACATTTGCTACATCCGCAGTCATTGCATCAGTCGTCATCTGACTGAAACGAACTTACCGGACGCTCACGTGAACAGCGACGCCCACGCCAGAGCCGGTCTAACAGCGGCCCTCGTTCAACAGGCGCGTTTAACACGGAGTCCGTCAACAGTCTCCTCGCCAGCGAGCAGGACTTCAGCAGCAAAATAGCCATTCGTCACTGCGCCGCAGCCAGCGCCGGCCGCCGCGGGTGCTCTGCTCTGCACGATACCGACACCCGCCGTCACCCACGCCCACACCGGTGTGGCATCGTCCAGAAGCGGGCGCGGGTGCTCTGCTCTGCACGATACCGACACCCGCCGCCACCCACGCCCACGCCAGTGTGTCATCGTCCAGAGGCGGGCGCCGGTGCACCGCGCTGCGCTGGGTAACACCGGCCGGCAGCGGACGGCCCGCGGCGGCGGGCCGGCCGGCCGCAGCTGCACGTGCCGCACGGGGCCGGCACGCCGGCGACGGCCGGCCGGCCCGAGCGGCGGCGTGCCGGGTCCAGCGGCGCTCAGGTGTCGCCGCGCCGCCGGCCCGCCGGCAGCGCCACGGAAGTTGGCCGCTAACTCGGCCGCGCGCGGGCGCGCAGGAAACTCGAGATAGGAGCAGCTGCGGTAACTTCGCCGCCCAGGAAATATCCGCGGCTCAGTCGATGCCGGCAAACTGAGTTATGGCCGTTGGCATGTGATGAGATCAGCGGCAATTGTGTTTTTCGTTTCTCCAGCGCTCTGTGGCGGGAGTGGCGGACTGAATGTCGTTCTACGATCGAAAATGACACTAGGACAACAAATCCGACCGTATCCATCCCAACAGGCAGACCACCCGAGCTAGTCTTGACATAAGATCGATGCTTACCAGCACTATCTGTTCTACAGCTTTGGTCCGAACCCATTGCTTGGATGGACTTCTATGAGCAGTCCCTAAGCTATGCGGTGCTTGTCGTCCAGCACTGGCCCCTCGTTCGATCGTGCAATTCCAGGGTCAACGGTACAATTTTGTCGCGAAGTCTTAACGTGTCGCCATGTTCGCACGGCCGGTCCTGCTCTCCGACGTCCCCTAACCTTTAACGCGGCACTGTCACCGGACACAGCCCCTCCCACTCACGAGCAAATATCAGACGCCTAAAGCAACTCGAACCCATTCGGTCACGGCTAAATGAACCGAAAGCCCGGCGCTCTGGCCGCCCGATCTATCGCGGCCGACACGCGCTGCGCGTCCACTCGACGGCCCAGCAGACGTCTTCACGCCTCATTAGCTGGGCGGGACGAGGGAAGAGAAGCGAGCCGGCGTCGCCGTCCCGCGAGACGCGCCACTCAGCCGCCGCCCGCACAGTCCAGCCCAGCGCAAACAGCGCCCGCACGACGGCGCATGCCACCGAGACGCCGACTGACACACGGCCAACATTGGCCATTTCCCGCGGCAATAAAAACGCTCATCCGTCTTCGGAGCTGTCGGCAAGTTCCAACTGGCAGGCGGGTCGGCCGTACAGCGGCTGATGAACAGTTGTCGACAGTTGGTCGGCGCCGGCGCGTCTGCTCCGCCCGTCCACCTGCCCGGCACGGCGGCAGCGGCTCCGTCGGAGACAGCTCCAGCCGTCCACCTACCCGGCCCGGCGGCAGCGGCTCCGTCGGAGACAGATCCACCTGCCCGGCTCTGCGGCAGCGGCTCCGTCGGAGACAGCTCCAGCCGTCCACCTGCCCGGTCCGGTGGCAGTGGCTCCGTCGGAGACAGCTCCACATACCCGGCCCGGCGGCAGCGGCTCCGTCGGAGACAGCTCCACCTACCCAGCCCGGCGGGAGCGGCCCCGTCGGAGACAGCTCCAGCCGTCCACCTGCCCCGCCCGGTGGCAGCGGCTCCGTCGGAGACAGATCCACCTGCCCGGCTCGGCGGCAGCGGCTCCGTCGGAAACAGCGCCGGCCGTCCAACTGCCCGGCCCGGTGGCAGCGGCTCCGTCGGAGACAGCTCCGGCCGACTCCTGAGACGGCCCGCCAGCCCGCACGCGGACATCCGCCAGCTAGCCACGCGTGCGTTCGGGGAGAGCGCGCGCAGCGAGCGCCAGAAGAACGGAGCATGACTAGACACACACATTTCTCGAGACCCACTGTAGGAACGGAGGGGGACATGTTTGCCGGTCGGCTGAGCGGGTTGACACAGGGCACTCAACAGATAATGCCCAATATCCACTGAAGGACCATCGGCGGGCAGCAGTGGGGTCTGCCGGGATAGGATGACCTCCCCCCTCCGGGAGACTGCAGTGGAGCCGCCGAACTGCGGTGTGACTGGTCAGACTGGGGAGGCGTTGACCCGGCGGCAGTGGACTCGGTCGGACTGGGGTGGGTTTCTTCCGACGAGGGCCAGTGCAGTCACGGCGGGGAGATTCGGTCAGAATGAGTCGGACGCTGACAGACTGGGGATGAGTTCAGACTAGGGCTGACCCGTGAGTTAGTTGTAAGGGCGTTCGGATGAATCAGAGCCGGATCAGCTCAGGCTGGGCAGAGCTTGATCCGACTTGAACGAACCTGATCAGATCGAGACGGACTCGGCCCGAGACCCGGTCGGACTGTGCCGGCCGGACGCCGTCGGCGCGTGGCGTGCGGCCGCACTATTACCGGGGCAAGCGCGGCCGCCGGCGTCGACGGACGCAGCATCCGCCGGCCGGCGGCGCGCCGCCCGACGGCCCTAAATGGACGCCGCCCGCTCAGGGAATTTAATCACGCACGGGGCCGGCCAGCGGCCTCTGGCGGTCAGGGGCGGGCGGGCAGCGCGCGGGGACCGAGGTCGGGCCGGCTGCCGGTAATCGGGCCCATCGCACGCCGGCAGCCGGCGCGCGCCCCCCTCTCATTCGTCTCGGTTATTCTGTCAGTTATCTACGGGGAAGGCGGACGGCCATCAATATTGGTTAGCGTGTGGCGCCCCGCGGCGGCGGCGCCGCCCGCCGGCCGCCTACCGATTATAGTTATCGGCCGCCGCCACTTTCCGCGCCCCTTCCGACACGACGTCATCAATACGGCAGACGGCACCGGCTGTGGCCCGGCCAGCGCCGCTCCGCTGACCCTCCTGCGGCCGCTCCGGGGCCGGAGCAGCTTCAGTCGGCGCCGGCGGCCGCTCCGGAGCCACAGAAGTCCCCAGTTGGCAACGGCAGCCGCTCCGGGGTCGCAGCAGCCCTAGTTGCCGCCGGCGGCCGCTCCGGGGTCGCAGGCAAGCCCTAGTTGCCGCCGGCGGCCGCTCCGGGGCCGGAGCAGCCCCAGTCGCCACCGGCGGCTGCTATTGGGCCGGAGCAGCCTCAGTCGGCGCCGGCGGCCGCTCCGGGGCCGGAGCAGCCCCAGTCGCCACCGGCGGCTGCTACTGGGCCGGAGCAGCCTCAGTCGCCGCCGGCGGCCGCTCCGGGGCCGGAGCAGCCCCAGTCGCCACCGGCGGCTGCTACTGGGTCGGAGCAGCCTCAGTCGGCGCCGGCGGCCGCTCCGGGGTCGCAGCAGCCCTAGTCGCCGCCGGCGGCCGCTGACTCCACGGCCCGGCTCCCGCCGGCTCCGGCCACCGGCGGACGGCCGGGGGTTAGCGAGGGTGCGGTGCTGCCGCCGGCGCGCCGCGCGCGCGGGCCGTCCCACTGGGACCAGCCCGGCGGTCGGCACCACATGAGGCGCTGGACTCGAGCCCTGCGCGGCTCGCACGGATTCGCGACAGACCTCTGCACTTCTCGACACCAATTGACACCGCTGCACGAGACATCTGGCTTAAAAGGCACTCAGACCCGGCGCGAAGTCCTGACAGAAGACACTGCCCGGCCCGGCAAGACCTAGAAGGTCTACAGAGACTACAAAGACTACAAAGACTACAGAAAGGATCAAATCATTACTCATAGCGAACATTCGGAACAGATTGACCTTGTCTCCCGGTCGGAGAGCACGGACGATGGAAAACACAACGTGTAGGACTTCGACTCAGAGCACACTTGATAGCCTGATTTGCCGTCTCTTCCTCTCCCGACACTTTCAACCGTTCTATGCCGACTGCATCTCTCGCTGCCCAGCGCTGATCCACAGAGATTGCCTCATTCGTCTACCGGGCGTGCGTCATGTCCGTGCGATTGCTGGCCAGCGGGCCATCTCGCCGCCGTTCGCCGGGCCATCTCTCCCGGCGCCGCGCAGTGCAACAATGCGATTGTCCTGTTACTTCCGCACGCCGCGTTTCGCCATAAATCCGCGGCGCTTGGCTGGATCTTTAGCGGCCGGTCATGCGAAGCAACAGATTAAAAAGCTTTCGAAAATAGCTCGCCCCGGTAAATTAAATAACTCTCTGGTGGTCATCACCGTAAATTCGCTACGCCTGCTGTGTCTGGCGGCGTCTGAAGTGACCGCTGGCGGGGCCAGGACCGGCGACTTTGCGTGGTCGGTCCTGGGCGGTGCGCGGCCTTCATCTGACGGGCGGACAGCCGCTGGACAGCGTGACGGCCACCGCCGGCTCGGACCGTAGCCACCGCCGACGCCGCATCACAGGCCGACAAAGGCCGCCGCGCCCTTTCAACTCCGCTTTGACATCACCTGGGGGCGGAGAGGGGGGAGGGGGCAACGTCGGTCGCCGTGGCGCGGCGTCCACAGGACGCCAACGTTGGCCGGCCGAGGCCGTCCCGAGGGGCGTCTAAACGCCGCTCAGCTCAGCCGGGCGGGGCCGCCTCGAGGGGCACCGAAGCGCCGCTTAGCTCAGCCGGGCGGGGCCGCCCCGAGGGGCGTCTAAACGCCGCTTAGCTCAGCCGGGCGGGGCCGTC